ATCGTTGTAAAAACTTTTACATTCTTGCAGTTCTGGAACAGAGCACATATTGTCCACAATTTTCTAGGCAAAATATTTTCGATAACAACCATTTATATGGAAATATGGCGAAAACAGCAATACCCCCCGATTATAAGATTTTCCATAAAAAATATGGGATATTATTAACGATAACAATGTTCTAACGACAACACTGTTATCGATGACAACATTTTCCCACAGCAAATGTGATAGATAACTGTGTTTTCTATAGAAAATGTGCGAATGATAACATAACCATACAAAAACATTGCTCTATTCCAGAATTGCAAGAATATACAAAATGTTACTACGATAACTAATTTTTATTCTTAATTATCGAAAAAAAAATTGCATGTTTCGTAGATTCTTGCAGGTTATGAAACAGAGCAATAATTTTTTGAATTGATTTTTTATAGAGTTTATTCTCAATAGACATAAGTTGTTATCGACAAAATATTCCATAGAATATTCGATAATATTTTATATGTTATCGATAGAAAATTATGAGATAACCCCTGTTTTCCCAGAAGAAAAATTCGTTGTCAGCGATTATTTTCTTTAGACCACCCTGTTATCGACTGTATTTTCTATTAGATATAATATATCGATTACATTTGAAGTAAGCAAATGTGGACTTCGATGACAGTCTATATGGGAAATCTTGTTCTTTTGTCGTTAGAACATTGTTATCGGCAATAATATCATATATTTTTTATACAAATTATACTATATACTTAATGTCGATAACATTTTGTTTACACAATAATGTTATCGACAATCTTTTCCATTGTAAACCTTGTTATGGGGAAAACACTATCAAAGAAACCCAGTTATATTTTTGCCAGTGATGTTTTTTTTACAGAAATATGATTATCGATAATTCTCTCTAGAAAATACAATATCGATTAAATTTGCAGAAAGGTAATGTTGTCATCGATAACAGTCAATATGGGAAAAATCTCATTTTCTTGCCGTTAGAATATTGTTATCGCTAATATTTGTATTTACATTCTGTATAGAAAATCTCATAATCGGTTACATTGCTGTTTCCGTCATATTTCCTATAAAAAATGGTTGTTATCGAAAATACCTTGGCTAGAAAATTGTGTTGTCAGTAAGAGTTTATATAGAATATCGACAAAATATATACTGAATACTTAATATCGATAACACTTTTTGTACACCCTAAAGTTACCGAAAAAAAGATCCATTTTAAGCCTTTGGTCTGTTCCAGAACTGTAAGAATGTAAAAGTTTTTACTACAATAACCGTTTTCCCTTTATGATATCGAAGAAAATGGCAAACCTAGCAGATTCTTGCAGGTACTAAAACAGACCACTTGTTATCGAGAAAAATTATCAAAGAAATTTTTGACAGCGATATTTTTTATAAAAACATGATTATCGAAAGTACTTTCTAGAAAATATAATATCGATAACATTTGTAATAAGAAAATGTTGTCATCGATAACAGTCTATATGGGAAGCCTTATTCTGCAAGAATGTAAATTTTTTTATTACGATAACCGATTTTCCCTTTATGATATCGAAAAAAAATTGCAAAACTAGTAGATTCTTGCAGGTACTGGAACAGAGCATATATAACAGATTACTATCGATTATATTTGTTAGGGTGGAAATACACAAAGCGCATATTTGGCTGGCTTAAGTCATCGGCTGGTTTCTTCGTAGATGAACAAAGGAGTTTTAGGTTGACTTAGTTCGATTTTGGCCCCAGGGCTCCTTTGTTCATTTCCGAAGACGCCACCCGATAACTTAAGCCTGCTAGATAAGCGCTTTATGTATTTCCACCTTTATTGTTATCACGTACCCAACAACGCAATAATATGAAATTGAATGTAACATTTGTGCCTTGTGTAGGCCTTAAATCTTTTCGCAGATCTTTAAAATGTATTTCAAATTGTAATATTTTGGCCAAATTGGTCTGATGCCTAACCACAACAGATTAACTGTTAACTGTTTTAGTTAGCAAACAAATAAGTAATTAAATCCCATATAATTATCAATTTGGCATGGCTTTGTTGTGCCGTTAGGCCATATTGTGATTTCTTCACACACAACTGTTTTCATTTCAAAACAATTTTTAATGCAAAGAAGATTTTATTTCATTAAATTCCCGCCTCCTCCTCCCCGTCGTCGTCTCTATTAAATTCAAAACAAAACTCGCTTAAAATAGTTTCTTGTAAAGGTAGATAACCTGCTGGTTTTTTGGGGAGGTGGTTTTTTATCATCATCGCCACTAGGCTATGTGTGGTGCCGGCTACTGTGTCCGTTTCGATCATTTGGTGTGTTGAGCTACTGACCTACTCTACGTGCGAACGATGGTCGAAGCGGTTAGTTTGAGATAATTATTTTTTTTTACTTTTCTTGGCGTGGTTATTTTGCGAACGTTTGTTTTCATTTTGTAGTTTACTCATAAAACAGTGGGGCAAAACAAAATTTTTTTTGTGACTTCAAAAAAATGCGATAATAAAAGGGTTGTTCCAGAACCTGCAAGAATCTATTACCTTTGCAATTTTTTCCGATATCATAAAGGGAAAATCGCTTATCGTTGTAACAACTTTTACATTCTTGCCGTTCTGGAAGAGACAAAAAATAGTAGATTCTTGCAAGTACGGAAACAGAGCAAAATTTTTTCTTTTGAAAATATTGACGATAACAATTGGTCTGTTCCAGAACGGCAAGAATTTAAAAGTTTTTTTTTACAACGATAACCCATTTTCCCTATATAATATCATAAAAAATCGCAAACTAGTAGATTCTTGCAGGTTCTGGAACAGAGCAAATATTTGGCCGGCTCCAGATCCTGCAATAATTTACTAGTTTTGAATTTTTTTACGAAAATCGGTTATCGTAGTAAACATCTTTACATGCTTGCAGTTCTGGATCAGACCTATTACCTAAAAAAATAAATTAAAGACATTTTTCTTTAGACAATTTTATCGATTACAAGATTTTATATAGAATATATAAACGATAACAAGTTTTCTTAACATAAAAATGTATTGATAAATAAACGCAATAAAAGATGTTATCGATAAAATTGTTATAATATATTGATCCAGAATCTTCAAAGGTGTAAACATTTTACAACTGTAATCGATTTTTCCTTTCTGATATCGTGTTGCTGTTTCAGTCATATTTCCATATAAATAGTTGTTATCGAAAATATTTTGCTTAAAAAATTATGTTGTCTGTAATATTTTATATAGAATATCGACCACGTTATGCTGTATACACAATATCGATAACATTTTTTGTCCACAATATTGTTATCGACAACAACATTTTCTATTGTAAACCATGTTATCGAGAAAAATTACCAAAGAAACCCAGTTATATTTTTGCCAATTATATTTTTTATAGAAACGTGATTATCGATTGTGCTTTCTAGAAAATATATTATCGATTACATTTGCAGTAAGAAAATGTTGTCATCGATAAAAGTCTATATGGGAAAATCTCTTTTTCTTGTCTTTAGAATATAGTTATCGCCGATATTTTCTTTTATATTCTGTATAGAAAATCTAGTAATCGGTTATATTGCTGTTGCCGTCATATTTCCTATAAAAAATTGTTATCTAAAATATTTATATTTAAATATTTATATAAACATATGATTGCATGACTTTACCTCCTTGATTCTACCATAAAACCTTAATTCAATTGTCTGAACTAACTAATTATTGAGTAGTTGGTAGAAGAATTTAGCTAGATGCATCGAAACAGCTGCTGGGACAATGAACTGTCAAACCAAATTTGGAATTGAAAATGTTGAATGAAAAATTATTTAAATTTGTAAAAATTGTTGAAAAACCAGTATTCTAATATCCTCCGAATGACGTCGTATAAGAAAACATATAAAAATCTACTTATATTTGAAAAGAAAATTAAAATTTTTTGACATATCAATGCTCCCAAGCATTTATGCATGTATTTTTCTACCATGGCATTCGTGTTCTCATCTCCTAAAACTAAAAGAGCGTTTACACACAAAATCGTTACCTAGTTTAACCCTGATAATTTACCAATCACAATATATGTAAGGTATATTTTATACAGACAGATTTATTGTGATTGGTCATTTATCAGGTTTAATAGTACGTCTACGTTGTAAAGGATTTGGAAAACCCAGTCGTTTTAAATTGTCAATTCAATTGTATATACCTCATATTAATCTTCATAACGAAGGTTAACCCGAAAAAAACTCTAACGTAAACATGGATTAACCCGAGACAAGGTAGGACACATAGTAGAATACAACGCATCGACACAGTTGACGGGACAATGAAATGTCAAACCAATTTTGGAATTGAAAAATTTGAAAGAATTTTTTTCAAATTTTTAAATAATTTTTTTTTTTTTTTAAAAATAATAACCTCCGATTGACGTTGTATACCCTATAAAATCTACTTATATTTAAAAGAACACCTGTATTCTTCTACCATGCTTGTAATTATTGTATCATGTGTGAACGTACTCTCACCTTGGTTAACTGTCATAATTGAACAATCACAATAAATTTGCCGTAAGTGTTTAATGTTTAATGGCTAAATTTACAGAGATTGGACAATTATCAGGGTGTTGTAAGGCAAATTTGTTTGAAGAAATTGGTATTAAGCAATAAATTCTGATAATGTGGGTTAATCCGGATAAAATTGTCAATCCAAACGCGCTATTAATCTTTCCCCCCTTCAAAAACTATCCACTGCACTTATTAACCTATTGCCTTTGGTGCCAGAAATTTACCCCCCGAAGTAAGATTATATTCATTGGGTAAAAATATATTCTAGGTTATTTCAATACATCTTCGAAATAAGGGACAGTTTTAAAATCTAACGAGTTTTACTAAAATTAAACCGGAGGTTACGCAGAGTTGCGTTTTGATAGACATCAAACGATTATTCGATTTTGGCAGTCACACAAAAATCGATAGTGCCACTAGAACACAAATCGATCTAAGTATCCCTAACCGCGTCGTCGATACAAGATGGAAACAAGTAAAAGGAATTTGACAAAATTTTAATAATTTTTAATGGAATATCACTTAATATTCCAACAAAAACAAGTGTAACCCAAACGCCAACAGTAAATTTCTTTGGCCGCTTACGGTTTTCAACATAAAAACTGCTACAAAAACTCAGTAAATGCGGTGCGCGATAAACTGAACACCAAAAGAAAAAAAAAGAGAAGTGGTAGTAAAATTTTTTGCAATGAAATTGACGACACACAGGAACGTCGGTCGGTCATCGAAAAAGAAGTGAAGCGAAAAAATTAATCGAGCAGCAGAAGACGAAACAAAAACGTTTGCGTGCAAGGAAGATTTGTGTCAACATTTCAGTGGTTCCATGTCGACCTGGAACATTGAAGCGTTCCTTGCAGCATAAAATTTGGAAATAAATCAACAAGAATAGTGTGGAATTTTTCTTTTTTTTTCATCGTCAAAGAAAGTGAGCGGTGGTGAGAAAACAAAAAAAAGAACAAAAATATTCTGAAGAAGAAGAAGCACACATACATTCAATAGTCAAGAAGAAGAAAGTCATATTAACAAAAAATAATAAAAAGAAAAGAAAAAAATCAGGATTTTTTTATTTGGACACATTTTAAACTGAAAATAACACACACATTTGGACTCCTCCTGTTGTTATTGTTGTTAATGTAATCGATCAATTAGTGCCGTGCAGTAAGGCGAACAAACACAAATATTTGGAACAAAGCAGCGGCGGCAACGGGAAACGCTGCTGCTGTTTGTGAAAAAAAAGAGACCACTTCGTTGTCGGTTGCTTGCTTGCAGATGGTAGCAAAAATGTGCAAGATCACAAAGAAGGAAACATGTTGAAATTATGATCAAATCCAGGTGAGATTTTCATTTGGCAAAAATGTGGACACAAAAGAAATGACAGAATTAACAGAAATTGTTTTTCATTTTAGAAAACAGCAACACCACCACCAGAGATATGCTTCAACATTGAAATAGGCGCTTTAAACCTAACAAAAATATTACAATACAAATTGTTGAAACTTACCTTAAAGTACTCCCACAAAAGCCAACAATTCATCTTGGGACTTGCTTGAACGTCGTTTTGTAGTATCAACCCCGTTATATTGTATTGCCTGCTGGTCGGCAGCAGGCCATTTTTATTTTTTTCTCTCCGATCGTCTTAAAGAAAAGCTGCCACCATTCGGAAGAAAAATACCAACAACATGACCCATAATCTCGGTATGGCGCCATATCGTATGCCGGGTCCAGCAGGTGGACTATGTCCGCCTGATTTCAAGCCACCGCCACCAACGGATATCATCTCGGCGCCGAGTAATCCGAAAAAACGTCGAAAGACAAATGCCAATTCGGCGGCAGCAGTTGCAGCAGCAGCTGCCGCGGCCGCAGCAGCAGCTAGTTCAATGCAACAATCACAGACACCACCTACACCGCAGGATCTGTTGCCGCCGCCGCCAATGGGTGGCTATGGCGATACAATTGTAGCTTCGAATCCTTTTGATGATACTCCGCCTTCAATGTCCAGCTCGATGTCCTCCATGAGTCATATGGGTGGTCCCCCAGGACATTTTGGTCCCGGACCCGGTCCTCACATGGGTATGGGAGGACCACATGGGCCACCACACATGCATCCGCACATGCATCCTCATCATCCCGGCGGTCCTCCACATCCACATCATCCAATGGGTGGTCCACCGATGCGTGGTATGAGTCCTATGGGAATGGGCAGTCCAATGGGAGGTCCTGGCCCCGGTCATCCAATGGGTCCTGGTGGACCTATGGGTATGCCACCGCACATGGGCGGACATGGTCGTCAGGGACCCGGTGGTCCCATGGGCAGTCCAATGGGCAGCTTGGCGTCAATGGGTGGCATGAGTCCCATGGGAGGTATGGGTGGTCCCAGCATATCACCGCACCACATGGGCATGGGTGGTCTTAGTCCTATGGGGGGTCCGGTACCAAATGGTCCCCGCGGCATGAGTTCTCCCATGCCGGGAGGACCAGGTGGTGGTTCTGGGCCTGGTCCTGGACAATGTTCACCCATGAATTCAATGCCAATGGGTTCGCCCATGGGCGCAGCAATGGGTAGCCCCTTAGGTCCACCAACATCTCAACCAGGCCCGCCACACCCGCAAAATCAATCGCAACTTCCTCCGCCTCATATGAACAACGGTCAAATGGGCCCGCCTCCAATGCACAGTCCCTTAGGTAATGGGCCTGCGCCTCAGAATCACATGTCCGGCGGTCCAGGACCAGGTCCTGGGCCCGGTGGACAGCTCCAGACTCCCTCCGGTATGGTTCCCAATCAACAAGGTGGTATCTCTCCTGCCCACAGTATGGCCTCAGGCGTCAATAGCAATAATTCAATCAATAGCAGCGGTAACAACAACAGCAACAATCCCAATAACAGCAACCAACAACAACAACAAAGTCAACAGAATCCCATGCTTTCGCCGGCGGCGTTAAGATTGGGTATACCACATTCACCATCTGCCAGTATAACTCCGAATGGACCCTTGCCGCCGACCTCATCAACACCCTCGTCATCTTCCTGTGCGTCATCAAATTCAGCTACAACGACGACGACAACAGCGTCTACGTCAGTGCCTATATCTTCACCAGCGCCCGGTAACGGGCCTCCTGCAATGTCACCCCATCATGCAATGTGCGGTAGTGGTGCCCGACCGGGACCTAGTCCAGGGCCAGGTGGTGGAGTGAATAGTAATATGCCTCCTGGTGGTCCAGGACGTAGTCCCTTGGCATCGCCAGCCCATGCGGGTAACTCGAACAGTAACAACAACAATAGCAATGCAGCTGGCAATAATTCCATGGGTAACATGGGTGGTGCTAGTCCACACAACAACAACAATGGGCCGTCAAGTGCGGTCACCTCACCGCTGGGCTGTGGACCGAATAACAGCGGCAATAATGCCAACAACAACAACAATGGTCCAAATTCTGGCGGTCCAATGCAGCAGCAGCAGCAACAACAACAAATGAATCCTAATGTTCCTATGCAACAGCCACAACAGTCACCGCATGCGCATGTGCCGTTGGGAAGTGGTGGTTCTACGGGCAGTGGCGGTCCAAATCAAATGCTGCCACCGCAACAACCCTCGCCACATTTAAATGCACCTCCACAACTTTCACAAAATATGAATCAGGGGTCTGGGCACGGGCCCAGTCCTGGACCCAGCGGTATGCCCTCACCGCATATGATGCATGGTCCCGGTGGCGGAGGTGGTGGTGGTCCACCAATGGGTATGGGTTCAGGGCCTCCAAATCACATGGGCGGCGGCCCACATCACATGATGGGTCCGGGCGGTAGTCCACACATGGTGCCCGGCGGCAGTCCTCACATGGGTCCTGGCGGCAGTCCACACATGGGCCAGGGTCCCAATGCACACATGGGCGGTATGGGACCCGTTGGCATGGGTCCCGGCGGTATGAATGGACCACATCAACATGGACCTCATGGTCCACATGGACCACATGGTGGTGGCGGTATGCCACCGCATCATCATCACAATCCTATGGGTGGCAATGGTCCACCTGGCATGTTTGGCGGACCAATGGGCCACATGGGTGGCGGTCATATGGGTCCCGGTGGGCCAATGGGACCAGGTGGACCCATGGGTCCAGGAGGTCCTATGGGTCCAGGAGGTCCTATGGGACCGGGTGGTCCCATGGGCCACGGGGGGCCAATGGGCATGGGTGGTCCCATGGGTCCGGGTGGTCCAATGGGTCCTGGCGGTCCCATGGGCCCCGGCGGCCCAATGGGCCATGGCAACCCCATGGGTCCCGGCGGTGGCCCCCCCAAGCCAATGACAATGGGTGCTGGCAAAATGTATCCTCCCGGCCAGCCAATGGTGTTCAATCCGCAAAATCCTAATGCGCCACCAATCTATCCTTGCGGAATGTGCCACAAAGAGGTCAACGATAATGACGAAGCTGTTTTTTGTGAATCCGGTTGTAATTTCTTTTTCCATAGGTAAGTAATTCGTCGAAATAAAATTTTGAATACATTGCAATTATGATTTGGGCTTCTTGTAGGACATGTGTTGGCTTGACGGAGGCCGCCTTTAAAATGCTGACGAAAGAAGTCTTTGCTGAATGGTGCTGTGACAAGTGTTTATCAACCAAAAACATACCCATGGTCAAATTCAAATGCTAAACAAGGCAACGTCACGTAGCTTGAATCTTCTTTGATGGCGACAATGCAACGAAATTTAACTAAAATGCAATGTGTTGGTTGTTTAAAAAAAATATATAATAACAGAGACAATGAGTGATAAATAACGAAAAATAAAAACAAAAAGCAAAACAAGCTAAGAAGTAATTTATATAAAACAAAAAAAAAAAAAAATAAATCTCTCCTTTTCCCTGTCACATCCAGTACATAGACATATAAACATCATACCTACATCATAAAAATAATAAAAATGAAATAATAATGAGAAAGGACTGCCTCTTGATTGTAAAAATATTAATATATATACATATATATAATATTAAAAAAGAAATTCATTAATTGAAAGAAAAAAGAAAAATAAACAACAAAAAATATTGCAACAAATTATGAAAAAAAAGGATAATGTAAAACAAATGTTAATGTATTAAAAATACTTAGTAGTTTATAAACAACAACGATTACGGAAAAACAACAACAGCACCAAAAAAACAAAACACAACCGCCACCTCCAACACCACCACCATCATCACTACCACAATTAAGCACCACAACAGAGACAAGATTATCAATTTCAAATCCGGCAAACCTCCCAACCACCATTGAAACAAAAGCAAGAAATAAAGCTCATCAGCATAAGGAAATCTACAAAAACACCACCACCACCAACAACAACTACAACAACACATCATTCATGAGTATAAGTACTATAATTAAAAAGTAAAAAATAACTTAAATTAGGAAAACAAAAATGCTAAAATATAACAAATTGTATAGATTTTTTTTTTGAAAAGTATAAAAATTAACTACAAAAACAAAACAAACTGCAAACAAAAATAAATAAAAAAAAAAAACAAAAAACAATACAACAACTTAAGTTACAATGTAAGCAATTGACGGATAAAACAAAAACAACAACTACCATTTATATCATGTTTAAGTAATAATAAATTAAAATAAAAACGAAATAACAATAATAATAAAAAAAGAAAAACAAAAAAAAACAGCGAAACAACATTATATATAAATTATAGTTGCATTAAACAAAAGTAAAAACAAGTATTTGAGAAAAGGAAAAAAAAAATAAGAAACATTGATGGCCTGTTTCTTGGAAAACGATTCGGAAGCAAATCCCATCGAACGTTCTCGTGCAGAAATTACAGGGTGAGATAAAAACAAAAAAACTGCAACAAAGTCAAACGCCATAATTTTTATTTTTTTTTTTTAAATTTTATTGAATGAAAGCAAAAAATTTTGGAAATAACATTAAATTTTAGGATAACTTTAGATTTGTTCGAATTCGTCACCTTTGGCACGAATGATGGCCTTCAAACGGCCAATGAAACCAAGTCATACGCTGCCGTAATGTTGCTCGGCGGTATTTTGGCCCATTCCCGGCGAAGAGCATGCTTGAGGTGATCGACACTTTGGTATATTTTAGTGCCAACCATGCTTTCTAAAAAAACTTCCCGACACAATTGTCGTCCAACGGATTGGTGGTATTCGGAGATTTTGGTGGCCATTGTGCACTGGAAATGAAGCGAGGAAGCTCATTTTGTAACCATTCTTGGGGTGAGTCCTGTTGGAATGTCCAAAGTCTGCGGTCAAAATGTTTGCGTGCCCAAGGCTTTAATACACCTTCCAGAATATTTTCGCAGTAATATTCGACATTTATTCTGATGCCACCTTTCACACCAGACCTTGCGTTAATAAAAATATTGTGATGTATGTAATTTGAAGTGAACCGGATGCATATTTCGGATATTTTGATAGTTTTGGTTATTTAAAACTTTGACTATTTGTGGGGGGAGGTACCATAAGGAATGGTCCGATCTCTAGCATCTTTATAACAGATCTTGTGTTTATGGAGATATTCAGATGCACCTGGTCTGTATGGAATCGAATGTTGATTTTGCGTTTTATGACCTTCATGGATGCTCAAAATGTTGACGGTTTTTTGGGAAGGTATCAGAAGGAGTGGACGGATTTATTTCATTTTCACACCAGTCCTTGGGTTAATGAAAATATTGAGATGTGTGTAATTTGAAGAGAACCAGATGCTTATTTCGAATTTTATGATGGTTTTGGTTATTCAAAACTTTTACTATTTGTGGGGAAGGTACCACAAGGAATGGTCCGATCTCTACCATATTTATATTCGATTTTGTGTTTATGGAAATAGTGAGATGTAGATATTCGACATTTATTCTGATGCCACGGTCGATTAATACGAGCGGAGAGCGACCATCGGCAGTTATGGCGGCCCACACCATCACCATGGCTGGCGCTTGAGTTCGGGTGGCCAACCGAATATATCACCACTTTCGGCCAAGCAAAGCAACATTTAGCTCTTTTGAGTCTATTTTCTTTCTGTTGCGGTGAGGTTCTTACACTTTTTGGAATTTCAATGGCTTTACGCCGAGCTCATTTTTCAATATTTGCCGAATGGAATATGGCGATATGTTAAGCTCACCAGCTATTTTTCGGCCACTGTGACGCGGGTTTCGATCAAGTCGCTTCTTTACTTTTTGAACCATTTCTGCTGATGTTGCAGTTTTCTTCCGTCCACGTCCACTTCCGTCCTTGACGTCGGGATACGCTACCAGCTACCAGTATCACGGCAACGAGCGATAGTACGAGACACAAAAGATTTATTCACATTTAAATGCTGGAGTGCTCTAACGATAGCCACTTGTGGTTTTCCAGCCAAATATAAAGAAATCACGCTTGAATTCCCAGCCATCACGAATAACTTTTTTTTTCCGGAAAATTCTCACCAAAATGCTTTTGTGAGCTTGTAAACAATGCAATGAGCTGTCACTGGAATAATTTTAACATCTGACGGACGAGTAGCTTAGAAATGGCAGAGGTCTGAAGATGGTTGCAGTTTTTTCATCTCACCCTGTAGTTTGGATGACTCCCACCATTTGGTAGACGCAAGTTATTGAATAAAAACACGGGTATTTTGCAGTTTATTATATCAGGAAATCGGTTGTCTTGACAAAAATCTTTAACTGTTTTATTTCATTTACCATGATCTGATTAAGGTCTGGTCATGGAGTCGTTGACTAAGAATTCCGATCTGATATTTGCAAACACTGGACATTGACAGAGAAAATGCTCGAACGTTTCATCATCTTCTCCGCATGGCCTGTTATATGTACATCCAAGATGGGACAGTTGAACTTGTAGGCCCTGGCAACCCGTTAGGGTGCCTGTGTTACATCACACAAAACTCTAACGACAAAATGAGAGGCCATAAAAGTCTGCGTCGTCGTCACATTTTCTTAGAGAATACCAAAAAAACCTCAAAAATGGTAAGATTTACACTTGGTATACCGATTCGCAATAAACGTCACCGACTTGTGTCAACGCCGACACATAAAATAAAGGCGTATACTTTAATTCTATTAGAAAATGAATTAATTGATGAAATTGTTTTCGAATCGACTCAAAGAAATGGGCCACTAGAAAAAATTGCTATTTTTTTTCAAATTGGTTAAACGTAATAAGTCATGCTCCTTTTTCCACATTATTTTTAAAACACCCTGCTCCACTTCTCTCCCTAAAATACGGGATTGGCACATAGAACATTTCATGCAGGAAAAATATTGGTTCGTGGCAAGGTTGTGTAAAGGACTATAGGCTATGAAACCTATATTCAGGGTGACATGAAAAAAAACGGCAACCAACTTCAGACTGCTGTCATTTCTAAGCCACTCGTCCGACAGCTATTAAAATTATTCCAGTGACAGCTCATTATATCGTCTACAAGCGTACAAAAGCATTTTGGTGAGAATTTTCCAAAAAAAAAAGTTATTCGCGATGGCTGGGAATTCAAGCGTGTTAGTGTGAGTTCTTTATATTTGGCTGGAAAACCACAAGTGGCTATTGTTAGAGCACTCCAGCATTTAAATGTGAATAAATCTTTTGTGTCTCGTACTATCGCTTGTAACCGTGATACTGGTAGTGTAGCCCGACGTCAATGACGGGAGAAAACAGCAACATCAGCAGAAATGGTTCGAAAAATAAAGAAGCTGCTTGATCGAAACCCGCATCGCAGTGGCCGAAAAATGGCTCGTGATCTGAACATATCGCAATATTCCATTCGGCAAGTATTGAAAAATGCCCCGAACTCGGGGTAAAGCCATTGAAATACCAAAAAGTGCCAGAACCTCACCGCAACAGAAAGAAAATAGACTCAAAAGAGCTAAAGAGTTGATTCGAAAGTTGTTGGCCGAAAGTGGTGTAGGTGAACTGCCGAATTTGGTTTTCTCCTCTCCGATGAGAAAACATTCGTTCCCCAGCAGTTTGTAGACAAAAAAATGACCGCGTTTACTTGCCAAAGAGGTCAGCTGAAAATGTGCACCTTCGGTTGGCCACCAGAACTCAGACGCCGGTCATGGTGATGGTGTGGGCCACCATAACAGCCGATGGTCGCTCTCCGCTCGTATTAATCGACCGTGGCATCAAAATAAATGCCGAATATTATCGCGAAAATATTCTGGAGGGTGTATTAAAGCCTTGGGCACGCAAACATTTTTGGGCGCAGTCCTTGGACATTCCCACAGGACTCAGCACGTGCCACCCAAGAATGTTTACAAAATGAGGTTCCTCGACATCGACAGTGGCATCAAAATAAATCCCGAATATTATCGCGAAAATATTCTGGAGGGTGTATTAAAACCTTGGGCACGCAAACATTTTGTGCGCAGTCCTTGGACATTCCCACAGGACTCAGCCCCATCGCACTCAGCACGTGCCACCCAAGAATGGTTACAAAATGAGGTTCCTCGACATCGACAGTGGCATCAAAATAAATGCCGAATATTATCGCGAAAATATTCTGGTGGGTGTATTAAAGCCTTGGGCACGCAAACATTTTTGGGCGCAGTCCTTGGACATTGCCACAGGACTCAGCACGTGCCACCCAAGAATGGTTACAAAAAGGGGTTCCTCGCTTCATTTCCAGCGCCCAATGCCCAGCAAAATCTCCGGATACCAATCCGTTGGACGACTATTGTGTCTGGAATATTTTGGAAAGCAAGGTTAGCACTAAAAAATACCAAAATGTCGATCACCTCAAGTAAGCCCTTCGTTGAGAACTTTCCAAAATACGGCAGAGCGCAACATTCGGGCAGCGTGTGAAGGTTTCATTGGCCGTTTGAAGGCCATAATTTGTGCCAAAGGTGACCAATTCGAACAAATCTAAACTTATTCTAAAATTTAATGCTATTTCCGAAATTGTTTTGCTTTCATTCAATAAAATTTAAAAAAATGTAAAAATTATGGCGTTTGACTTTATTGCAGTTTTTTTTTGTATCACCCTGTAAAAGTAGGAACACATATGTGTGGAAGTGGTCTTTTTTGTGAAAACACCCTCTGGGCTTTTTCTTGTCCCCTTGATCGTGGTATTTGATCCTTCATCATGAATCTAAAAAAGTCAAACGTTTTTGAAGAGAAAACAAATGTTTGTGAGGATGCAGGTTTTCTTTTGTGAAATAATTCGTCTGCCAATCCCGTTTAACTGTTTTATCTTTAGACAGTTTTGTGCTGGATGTTGGAAGCACATCTACTCCACATAATAATCATCCTGGTTTTTGCATGTGTCTCAAAAAAAAAAAAATAAATAAATAAAGAAAATGAAAATATAAAATAAAACAATAGTTAAATTTTATTAAAAAAAATAAAAACTAAAAGGAAAAAAATAATGAAATATATATATTTAAATATATGGTTGGTTAAGTTTTATTACACAGACAAACAAACATAAGCAAAACACAATTACGACTTCAAGAAAACATAAAAAAAAATAACAAAAAGAAAGAAAGAAAAAACAAAACAAAAAAAAAACACACATATAAATATAATATTTGTCATATAAAAATGAATTTAAAAAAAATATATTTGTAAAAATAAAAGTTGTTTCTTCTTCTCTTTTTATACCCTCCACCACAGTATGGAGGGTATATTAAATTTGTCATACCGTTTGTAAGGGTGGAAATACACAAAGAGCGTATTTGGCTGGCTTCTTCGTAGATGAACAAAGGAGTTTTAGGTTGACTTAGTTCAATTTTGCCCCTAAGCTCTTTGTTCTATCCGAAGAAGCCAGCCGATGACTTAGGCCAGCCAGATAAGCGCCTTATGTATTCCCACCTTAACACCTCGATATATATACATTTTAAAATCCACAAAGTACAGGGTGAGATAAAAAACTTTTTTTTTTTTTTTTTTGAATGAAAGCAAAAAATTTTGGAAATAGCATTAAATTTTAGAATAAGTTTAGATTTGTTCGAATTGGTCACCTTTGGCACGAATTATTGCCTTCAAACGGCCAATGAAACCGTCATATGCTGCCCGAATGTTGCGCTCTGCGGTATTTTGGCCCATTCCCGGTGAAGCGCTTGCTTGAGGTTATCGACACTTTAGTAATTTTTAGTGCCAACCTTGCTTGCCAAAATACTCCAGACACAATAGTCGTCCAACGGATTGATGGTATTCGGAGATTTTGGTGGCCATTGGGCGCTGGAAATGAAGCGAGGAACCTCATTTTGTAACCATGGATGGCGCGTGATGAGTGTGATGGTGCTCAGTCCTGTTGGAATGTCCAAGATCTGTGGTCAAAATGCATGCCCAAGACCTTAATACACCCTCCAGAATATTTTCGCGATAATATTCGGCTTTTATACTGATGCCACCTTTCACACTAGGCCTTGCATTAATAAAAAATATTGTGATGTATGTAATTTGAAGAGAATCGGATGCATATTTCGGATTTTATGATCAGTTTTGGTTATTTAAAACTTCGACCCTTTGTGGGGGGAGATACCAGAAGGAATGGTCCGATCCCTATCATCTTTATAACAGATCTTGTGTTTATGGAGATATTCAGATGCACCAGGTCTGAATGGAATCGAATGTTGATTTTACGTTTTATGACCTTCATGGATACTCAAAATTTTGACTCTTTGTGGAGAAGGTCCCAGAAGAAGTGGACCGATATATTTCATTTTCACAGCAGATCTTGAGATTATAAAATTATTGTGATGTGTGTAATTTGAAAAGAATCGGATGCATATTTCTGATTTTATGATGGCTTTGGTTATTCAAAACATTGACTATTTGTGGGGGGGCGGTACCACAAGGAATGGTCCGATCTCTACACTATTTATATTAGATTTTGTGTTTATGGAATTAGTGAGATGTACATATTCGGCATTTATTCTGATGCCTCGGTCGATTAATACGAGCTAAGAGCGACCATCGGCTGTTATGGCGGCCCACATCATCACCATGGCCGGCGCTTGAGTTCTGGTGGCCAACCGAAGGTGTACATTCAAGTTCAGCTGACCTCTTTGGCAAGTAAACACGATTTTGTTTGTTTACAAACTGCTGGACAACTAATGTTTTCTCATCGGAAAACCAAGGAAACCAAATTCGGCAGTTCACCATCACCACTTTCGGCCAAACGAAGCAAATCTTTAGCTCTTTTGAGTCTATTTTCTTTCTGTTGCGGTGTAAGTTCTTGTAATTTTTTTTAAATTTCAATGGCTTTACCCCGAGCTCAGTTTTCAATATTTGCCGAATGGAATATTGCGATATGTTCAGCTCACGAGCCAATTTTCGGCCACTGTGACGCGGGTTTCAATCAAGTCGCTTCTTTGCTTTTCGAAACATTTCTGCTGATGATGCTGTTTTCATCCGTCCTTGACGTCGGGCTAGGTACCAAAAAAGACAAAAGCTTTATTCACATTTAAATGCTGGAGTGCTCTTACCATAGCCACTTGTGGTTTTCCAGCCAAATATAAAGAAATCCATCCATCCATCCATCACGACTAACAATTTTTTCCGAAAAATTCTCATCAAATTGCTTCTGTACGCTTCTAAACAATATAATGAGCTGTCACTGGAATAATTTTAACAGCTGTCCGATGAGTGGCTTAAAAATGACAGCAGTCTGAAGTTGATTGCAGTTTTTTCATCCCACCCTGTATATATATTCTTGATCAGCATAAAATTCTATGTCGATTTAGCGATGTCCGTCCGTCTGTGGAAATCACTCCAGCTTCCGAACGAAATTAAGTAGTTTGATAAAATTTTACTCAAATGTATATTATGTCTGCTGGACCTTTGATTTTGAAAGTGGGCCATGTAGGACCACGTTTTGGTATAGCCGCCCATATAATGGTATCTGCCTATATTCGAAATTTTGATGATTTTAGCTTTATTTTTCACCCGAGTTGTTTGAAATTTGGCATTTGAAATTCGTAATGGATACTGCAGCCTATGACAAAAGATTTTCTGTGCAGGTCCACGTCTTCGTATAGCCCCTATACAACGGTACCCTCCGATATTCGGTATTTTGATGATTTTAGCGACATTATTCACCGGAATTGTTTCAAATTTGGCATTTGAAGTTCGTAATGGATACCACAGCCAAGGACAGAAAATTGTCTGTGCAGGTCCACATCTCCGTATAGCCCCCATATAACGGTACCTCCCTATATTCAGAATTTTGATAATTTTAGCGACATTATTCACCGGAATTCTTTCAAATTTGGCATTTGAAGTTCGTAATGGATACCACAGCCTAAGAAAATTGTCTGTGCAGGCCCACGTCTTCGTATAGACCCCATATAATGGTACCTCCCTATATTCCCCCTCAAGGCCAGAGAGTTTAATTCAAACCAAACAAAAAAAAAAACTCAAAACAAAATACATATTTTTTTTTTCAAAAACATTTCAAATATTCCCAACGAAAATCTTGCATAAAAATTGTCCTATTGATCGTGGAAGATTGATCTCTCTCACTCTTTCTAATACCTCATCATGAATCTAAAAAAAGCAAAAATTTTTAAGCGAATACAAATGTTACATCGCATTTCGAGGGAAAAATTACGTCAAGAAAAGCAAAGAGGGGATGCGGAACAGCAGCTGTATTGGAATGTGGAAAGAGCTCTGTGTGAATGCAATGGCAATGGTGTCGTGGAAAAATCAAATGATATTGAGAATCAAAGTCAGGAGATGGACAGTAGTGGCATGGAGACAATGCCTTCGATAAGGTTAGTTTGAGCAATAGATCCTGGACATTTGCCTTTTGAAGATATTGAACTATCTTGCCTTGCCTCTTTCAGCTCCACCAGGGCCAGCATTTGCATCGCCCAATCCCGCTATTCAATGATTGGCTCCTTGGCCAAATCTTTGGGTTACAAACTAACCAAGGCCAATAGATTGTGGAACATATTGTGGAGTGATTCTCTGCCGGGTGTTGAGATGTACAAGACTATGAAAAGATTTCAGCAAATCAATCATTTTCCCGGCATGATGGAAATTTGTCGCAAAGATCTGTTATCGCGGAACTTAAATCGCATGCTAAAGCTGTATCCAAAGGATTATAAAATATTTCCCAAGACTTGGATATTTCCAGCAGAGTATGTAACTGTGGGACATTGGATTCCAAGCATATTATTATTTTCTTCTCATTCAGCTATGGTGAGGCGCTCAACTATGCCCAGAGTAGTTGCGGGCTAAAAACGTTCATTTTAAAACCGGATTCTGGGGCCCAGGGACGTGGCATATGGCTGACAAACGATCTGAAAACAATCAATGGCAGTGAACGAATGATTTGCCAGACCTACATTGCAAAACCCCTGCTAATCGATGGCTACAAATTTGATTTGCGTGTCTATGCCCTAATCACCTCCATTGATCCGTTGCGCATCTTTGTCTACAACGAGGGACTGGCACGATTTGCCACTAGCAAATATCTGCCACCCTCTATGGCCAACAACAGCGACTTGTATATGCATTTAACCAATTACTCGGTGAATCGCAGAAATGCCCAATACGAACGCTGTGACGATGATAACTGTGGCAGCAAACGCACCTTTAGTTCCATCAACACCTGGCTGGAGCATAGAAATCACAATGTCGCAACATTTTGGTCTCGCATTGATGATATTATCATCAAGACGATATTGAGTGCCTGGCCAACGTTGAAACACAACTATCATGCCTGTTTTCCGAATCATGATCGTATTCAGGCATGTTTTGAAATTTTGGGTTTTGATATTCTCGTGGATGCAAAGTTTCGCCCCTACATTTTGGAAGTTAATCATTCGCCCAGTTTTCACACCAATGAAATGGTCGATCGTCAAGTGAAACGGCCATTGATCCGAGACACCCTGGCCCTGGTGTCGACAGCGCTGGCTGATAAAAGACAAATTCTGAAGGAGGATCGTAAGAGAGTCAAGCAAAGGCTTTTGAAGCTCAAGCAAGAAAATGGGTGCGGGGTGATTTTAGAAATTTTGAAGAAAAAAAAAATTTTTGTAGCTCCATGATCTATTATATCTGTAAAGACCTCTAAAAGGTATTTTACCTCCTGAAGCTCTGCGAAAAATCCTTCTATAAAGGGTTCCATTTTGTAATGGTTTATCGAAAGATCGTTAGAAGTTCTCCCTACAGTAGAAGTCCTTTTGTTCCCCTCCAAAGGAACTTGCTATAGTTTCTTATCGACATAGAGAAATGTACTCTAAGACGATCATACAAAAGTTGAAGAGCTGTAGAAGATTTTGCTGACATATACCACCACCACCTAAAGGTACTGTCTTTAGAGAAAAACAAGTAAAATAGTATCAGTCGGTTTCGGACAGATATATATCCCCAGCCTTTAGTTATGAAATTATTCAAACTATTGATCCTTTATGAGGAATTCGTATCGGACCTAAGACAGGTTTAAAATATTACAACTCACCAGATTTGGACTATATCGACTACTTACTATACTTTATATGAGATATGTGCAAATTTTTGGAAAATGTGGAAATACAGGGTGAGATAAAAAAACTGCAACAAAGTCAAACGCCAGTTTTTTTTTAATTTTATTGAATTAAAGCATTAGAGTCGGAAATAGCATCAAATTTTGAATAAGTTTAGATTTGTTCGAATTGGTCACCTTTGGCATGAATTATGGCCTTCAAACGGCCAATGAAACCGTCACACGCTGCCCGAATGTTGCGGTATTTCGGTCCATTCCTAGCGAAGCGCTTGCTTGAGGTGATCGATACTTTAGTAATTTTTAGTGCCAACCTTTTTTAGTGCCTAGACACAATAGTCCAACGGATTGGTATCCGGAGATTTTGGTGGCCATTGTGCGCTGGAAATGAAACGAGGAACCTCATTTTGTAACCATTCTTGGGTGACGATTGCTATTTGCGATGGTACTGAGTCCTGTTAAAATGTCCAAGGTCTGCGGCCAAAATGTTTGTGTGCCCAAGGCTTTAATACACCCTCCAGAATATTTTTGCGATAATATTTGGCATTAATTCACACCAGACCTTGGGCTAATAAAAATATTGAGATATGCGTAATTTGAAGAGAACCGAACGCTTATTTCGGATTTTATGATGGTTTTGGTTATTCATAACTTCGACCCTTTGTGGGGGAGGTACCACAAGGAATGGTCTGATCTCTACCATCTTTATAACAGATCTTGTGTTTGTGGAGATATTCAGATGCACCAAGTCTGAATGGAATCGAATGTTGATTTTGCGTTTTATTAGCTTTATGACCTTCATGGATATCCAAAAATTTTGACTCTTTGTGGCGGAGGTATCAGAAGGAGCAGGCCGATATATTCCATTTTCACACCAGACCTTGAGTTATTGAAAATATTGAGATGTGTGTAATTTGAAGAGAACCAGATGCTTATTTCAGATTTTATGAGCGTTTTGGTTATTCAAAACTTTGGCTATTTGTGGGGGAGGTACCACAAGGAATGGTCCGATCTCTAGCATATTTATATTAGATTTTGTATTTATGGAAATATTGAGATATACCAAATCAGAATGGAATTGGATGTTAATTTCGTGTTTAATGAGTTTCATGGATACTTAAAATTTTGACGGTTTTTGGGGGAGGTACCAGAAGGAGTGGACCGATATATTCCATTTTCACACCAGACCTTGGGTTGATGAAAATATTGAGATGTGTGTAATTTGAAGAGAACCGAATGCTTATTTCGGGTTTTATGATGGATTTGGTTATTTAAAACTTCGACCCTTTGTGGGGGAGGTACCACAAGGAATGGTCCGATCTCTACCATATTTATATCAAATCTTGTGTTTATGGAAATATTGAGATGTACCAAGCCTGTATGGAATAGGATGTCAATTTCGTGTTTCATGAGCTTTTCATGGATATTCAAAATGTTGACCCTTTGTGGGGCAGTCATCAGAGGGAGTGGAGCGATATATTCCGTTTTCACACCAGATCTTGGGTCAATAAATATATTGCGATGTGTGTAATTTGACGACAATCGGACACTTACAGCACATTTTATACGAGTTATAATTATTCAAAATTTTGACCCTTTGTGGGGGAGGTACTTGCTGGAGTGGACCGACGTTGTTCAAATGCTTCTTAGAGGTTTTTACACATATAATTCCTGAAGCTTGTTTATAATTAGAAGTCCATCCAAATTTGTCGGACATTGAAATAATGCTCTAGCCATCGTAAACGCCTTTTCTTTTTCTGAAGGTCTTCTATAACTAGATCTCCTAGCTACGTAAACCACCGAAATACCAAATAAATTCGTTTTTTTTAAGCTCCAAACTGACAGATCAAGAATCTGCCCCCTTGAGTGCCATGGCTCAACAAATTGCCTGGGAAGAAAGTCATTTGGGCAATTTCCGGCGCATCATGCCACCCAACAATCAAACTCAACTCAATTATTACTCTCAATTCTATAGTCAAAAAAATCAAGCCTCGATCTATGCTGAAACCGCGGCCAGCAAGAAACGTGAAGAAGTCTCGAAAAGGCTACGTCTGCAGCTGGAAGCAAGGCGACGTCGACAACACGACGAGCTACGAAATCGTAAAGCTGGCATTTTCAGATTTGAAGAGCGTGGTAGAAAACGTTTAACCATGCCGCGACGTCTAGTGGAACGACAACGCCTTACATCGTTGCAAAATCAAGCCCATTGGACGCCAGGTTTTATATCGAGCGGTGAGGAACGTTTACGTCTGGCCTACATGCAAATGAGAAGTGATCTTCTGAAGGATAACAGAATATTGGAAATGGTTGGTAACAAAAAAAGAAATGGGTGTATATTTTCTTTCTATTTATCTGCCTGTATTTTTTTATGTCCAGATATATGGCAATCTCTTCAAGGCTGGTATCTTGAGTAACAGTGATATCTTAAAATTTCCTGAACTCTATAGGAATTTGGAAAATGGCTGTAATTGAAATGTTACTGAACTTTTGTAATAAAATTGTTGTGCCATGCAGATTTTGGAAATCCCTTGGGGTGATGGGCACTCTGTTGATATAAATCGGGGTTAAGGAATACTTTTGTGGGAATACAGGGTGAGATAAAAAAAGGGCAACCAAGTCAAAAAGCATAATTTTTACATTTTTTTTTTAATTTTATTAAATGAAAGCAAAAACTGTCGGAAATTGCAGCAAATTTTAGAATAAGTTTAGATTTGTTCGAAACGGCCAATGAAACCGTCAGACGCTGCCCCAGTGTTGCTCTGTGGTATTTTGGCCCATTCCCGGGCCTTGCGGTAATCGACACTTTGTTTTTTTTTAGTACCAACCTTGCTTTCCAAAATACTCCAGAATCAATAGTCCGACAGATTGGTATCCGGAGATTTTATTGGCCATTAGTGGCGCTGGAAATGAAGCGAGGAACCTCATTTTGTAACCATTCTTGGGTGGCGCGTGCTGAGTGAGATGATGCTGAGTCCTGTTGGAATTTCCAAGGTCTGCGGCCAAAATGTTTGTGTGCCCAAGGCTTTAATACAGCCTCCAGAATATTTTCGCGATACTATACGGCATTTATTCTGAGGCCACGGTCGATTAATACGAGCGAAGAGCAACCATCGGCTGTTATGGCGGCCCACATCATCAACGTGGCCGGCCCTTGAGTTCTGGTGGCCAACCGAAGGTGCACATTCAGGTTCAGCTGACCTCTTTGGCAAGTAAAAACGATCATTTTGTTTGTTTACAAACTGCTGCTGGACAACGAATGTTTTTTCATCGGAGAGGAGAAAACCAAATTCGGCAGTTAACCATCACCACTTTCGGCCAAGCGAAGCAACTCTTTAGCTCTTTCGAGTCTATTTTCTTTCTGTTGCGGTGTAAGTTCTTAAAATGTTGGGAATTTCAATGGCTTTACCCCGAGCTCATTTTTCAATATTTGCCGAATAGAATATTGCGATATGTTCAGCTCACGAGCCAATTTCCGGCCACTGCGACGCGGGTTTCGATCAAGTCGCTTCTTTACTTTTCGAACCATTTCTGCTGATGTTGCTGTTTTCTTCCGATCACTACCGTCCTTGACGTCGGGCGTAGCCCTGCCAGTATCACCAGGTAACGAGCGATGATACGAGACCCAAAAGATTTATTCACATTTAAATGCTGAAGTGCTCTAACGATAGCCACTTGTGGCTTTCCAGCCAAATATAAGGAAGTCACACTATCACGCTTGAATTCAGTCACGAATAACATTTTTTCTGGAAAATTCTCCCCAAAATGCTTTGGTACGCTTGTAAAGCAGTCTGACGAGTGACAGCAGTCTGATCTTGGTTGCAGTTTTTTCATCTCACCCTGCAATTTTCACAAAATGATCGTTGATTTTTGAATCGCGGATATTAGAATATTATATTCATTGCCTAAGACTGGAGTATTGCCCACTGGCTTAAGCCTTTATTACTCAGAGAAATGTTTTCCGGAACGAAACTGACAGACAGACAGCTTTGCAATATTTGCTGATCGCTACTTCTGGCGAAGGGAATGATCTGTCAGATTCCTGGTAATGACGACTTTGGTGAAAGGAGCTTATTTTTTAAAAAGATACTCTTGGGCAGGGATACTTAAAAAATATCTCATAAATGATATTTTCGAAGAGATCATCTGGAGTGTAATTGTGGATATTTAAAGAGTGTTCTGTAAGACCAATCTCAGCTATAATTGTTGATTTTTCTAGGGTATTTCCAGAAGGTCTCTCGTGGCCATAATCGAGGTTTTGATTTTTGACAATGTTTTTTTTTTTCAAAGAATTGGTTTCTCATCGAGAATTGTTTTAGGGGTGGTTTTAAGGAACAACATTCTTAGACATTTTCAGAGCATTTTGCTTTTAAATTCTCATTTAAAGTCTGTTGGGATTTTCAAAATATCATCCATTTTTTTAAACAAAATATGCATTTATTTCAAAATACAACTTAAAAAAATTATAAAAACGTAAAAAATATAAACTAGTATTGGATTGTAGAGGCACATAAACAAACTTGTTTTAAACAAGATTTTAAGGATATTTAGCTTTTTTTTCACAATGTCATTTTGTGTTTTATATACAATTTTAGAATTAAATTGATGTCCAATATTTATAGCAATTAAACAAAAGAAGATTGATTGGAATGTATAGATTAATATGTTACAAAATTGTACCCCCCTCCCCCCCCAAAAAAAATATCAAAACTCAATCAACTGTAGCATAACGATTAAATATCTTAACTAAATCCTCCATATTCGGCCGTTTCAATGGATCATCTCGTATACACTCCAAGCCCAACTCGATTCCCATCTTACACAATGATCGTTCCTCGGGTTTCAATTTGATACGTTTATCAATTAAATCTTCAATGGTTTTGCTTTGCAGCAGAACTTTAATATAATCTCTTAAGAAATTCTTATTGTCCACCACCGATGGCAGTCCCGTGAACATTTCGAGTAGAACCACGCCAAAACTATACGTATCAACGTGTTTGCTCAGCCGCCGTAAATCAGCAAATTCGGGTGGTAAATATCCTCGGGTACCGTAGACGTGCGCCACCTCAATATAGGAATTATCCTGTGGACCTTCACGAGCCAGCCCGAAGTCGCCAATTTTCGGCTGTAGACATTGATCCAATAGAATATTGCCAGGTTTAATGTCACAGTGTATCAGCGAGATATTCGGTAATAGGGTGTGCAAGAAAAGTATGCCCCTGAAATTAGAACAAAGAGTTTGAATTAAAATTTTTTTCCTCAAGGACCTTTATGCTAAAATCTTGGGTTTTCAAGGAATATTTTTTTCTAGAAATATTCTTTCCAGCATCACCATAGAATATTCGCCTAGGTGTGATTTTCAAAAAAAAACTTTTTTAAACAACATTTTTTCCTTTGAAATCCATAAAATTTCTTCAAGGATCCATATACACGGAGAGATGAAAAACCTGCAACCAACTTCAGACTGCTGTCATTTTTAAGCCACTCGTCCGGCAACTGTTAAAATTATTCCAGCAATAGCTCATTATATTGTTTAGAAGCGTACAAAAGCATTTTGTTGAGAATTTTCCAGAAAAAAGTTATTCGTGATGACTGGGAATTCAAGCGTGATAGTGTGATTTCTTTATATTTTGCTGGAAAACCACAAGTGGCTATCGTTAGAGCACTCCAGCATTTAAATGTAAATAAATCTTTTGTTTTTCGTACCATCGCTCGTTACTGTGATACTGGTAGCCTAGCCCGACGTCAAGGACGGAAGTGGACGGAAGAAAACAGTTCGAAAAGTAAAGAAGCGACTTGATCGAAACATCGCAACACCGCCTCGCAGTGGCCAAAAATGGCTAGTGAGCTAAACAAATCTCAATTTTCCATTTGGCAAATTTTAAAAACATGGGCTCGGGGAAAAGCCATTGAAATTCCAAAAAGTGCAACCTACACCGCAAGAGAAAGAAAATAGACTTGAAAGAGCTAAAGAGTTGCTTCGCTTGGCCGAAAGTGGTAATGGTGAACTGCCGAATTTGGTTTTCTCCGATGAGAAAACATTCGTTGTCCAGCAGCAGTTTGTAAACAAAAAACAAAATAATCGTATTTACTTGCCAAAGAGGTCAGCTGATGCTGAATGTACATTCGGTTGGCCACCAGAACTCAAGCGCCGGCCATGGTGATGGTGTGGGCCGCCATAACAGCCGATGGTCGATCTCCGCTCGTATCAATGGACCGTGGCATCAGAATAAATGCCGAATATTATCGCGAAAATATTCTGGAGGGTGTATTCTGCCCAAAGCTTTAGGGCACGCAAACATTTTGACCACAGATCTTGGACATTCCAACAGGAATGGTTACAAAATGAGGTTCCTCGCTTCATTTTAAGCACACAATGGCCACCAAAATCTCCGAATACCACGAATCCGTTGGACTATTGTGTCTGGAGTATTTTGGAAAGTAAGGTTGACACTAAAAAATACTAAAGTGTCGATCACCTCAAGCAAGCGCTTCGCCGGGAATGGGCCAAAATACTGCAGAGCAACATTCGGGCAGCGAGGGACGGGTTCATTGGCCGTTTGAAGGCCATAATTCGTGCCAAAGGCGAGCAATTCGAACAAATCTAAACTTATTCTAAAATTTGATGCTATTTCCGACATTTTTTGCTTTCATTCAATTAAAAAAAAATTTAAAAATTATGGCGTCTGGCTTTGTTGCAGTTTTTTTTTATCTCACCCGGAATATAAAAAAATAAATAGTTTAACTTGATCATTTTTAAGACTTTCATTGTGAGCATTTAAAGAATACTTCTGCAAGAACCTCCGTCCTTGCCATAATCGGGAATTTTCAAACAATTATTCTTCAAATACCGTCACAACTAAATCCGACTTTCTCACACATTATCAGTTTTACCTTGCTGTCCCAGCACTAATATCAATCCTCTGCTGCATTGTCAGCGGTGGACGTTTGTTGCTGTTCAAACGGTCATACAATGCCCCACCCTTCATTAGCTGATAAACCAGACATGGCTTTTCACCCGTAATACAATAACCATATATGGGTAAAATATTGTCATGACGATAACGATATAAACAATTCAGCTCGTTGCGACTTTGTTGCAGTTGAATTTTAGCCTGTTCCTGTCCATCCGAATCCTTATAGGTCATTAGCTTAATGGCAACATCGGTCAGCTTCCAAACACCCTTATAGACGATGCCAAAGCCACCTTTACCCAGACGATAACGTTCATCCCAATTGTTTGTGCCAACGGTTAGTTCGTGATAATCGATTTCCGGTAGTCCTGCCTCATGATGACGGTTAATTTCTTTTTCAACTCTTGGTGTTTGCGGTTTGGCCTGATATCCATTATTAGGCTGAAGATGTGAGCGGCTTCTCCACGAGTTATTATTGGAGCTGGTATTATTATCAGAAGACACAATCGTGGAGCGGGATTCTGATGTAACACTGGCGGCTGGCGTTAAACCGCCAATGTTGTTGCGTGGCGGTCTATCTGTCCGTTCCGAGGGTAAAATTTGACTCAGTGCGGGTCCACTTTCGGGAATTAGTATGTGATATTCTCGTGGTACATAATCCTTGAGAATTCTCATACCCTGGTATGCTTTCAGTCTGTAATAAAAATAAATAGTATTGGGGGATTTCCTCGAGGGTGTTTTAGTTTACTTACTTCTGTAATACCATATATAGTTCGAGTATTTTGTGGTTGTATTTACCACCCCAAATGTTGAGTAGCTCATTGATTGGTGATTCTCCCGTTGCCTTTATCCTTCGGTTGATACTCTAAAAGGGGACATTAAAAAGTAGGTACATCATTCGTTAAAAATAAAAACCAATAAGTAAAAAAGCATGAGATTATATGGAAATCAATAAAAATGGATTTCCAGTAGGGTTATACATATGTAGGTATGTATGTACGTACAATTTCCAACACTAAACTTAAATATCAGATGAATCGACGTCATATAAGTGATGCATTTTTTGTCTGGTTTACACACATACACATATATATTTTTTGTGGGGATCCATCCAACTGCAAAATTGGAAAATCCCCCAGTTTGCTTGTTATCGGCAAAACAGGAAAATCCAAACTATTAACATCACATTCAAAACTTTTTACTTGGTCACTATGTCCATCTACTCACTTGTATGTCTTCCTCACTAAAACGCATCCTTTGCGCCACTTGCACCCATATTCCCAAACTATCTAAATGCTGACACAGCTGCTGGGTGATCGTCAATGGAAGATCATAGATGAAGCCACTGTTTGGTATACGAGGAGCTGAGATTACTTGGGGCTTTGTTGCGGCAGATGACATCTTTAAAAGATCTCAACTGAGTCATATGCAATTGCAATTTATTGCACGTTTGATTTTGATTCATACACACACCAACAAATGCATGCAAAAACAAAAAAAAAACAAAATGCAAATGACTGTTATGCTGCATTCACTGTAGGCACTTTCTCTCTCCCTCTCTTTTACTCTTGTCGGTTATTATTTACCCCTACCTCTTTAAGTGAGAAATATTATATTTTTTTAAGCAAAATGAAAACACAGACACAAAACAAGAAGCTGCAAAAATAAACTAAACAATAAAAACAAGATAATTAAAAAAAATATTTACAAATCAACAGAGCAGGGAGTTATAGATCGCCGATCTTCCTTTTGGGATTAGCCGCCGTCAGATTCATCGGCTAGAAATCGCCTTCACAAAAATATCGTGGGCCCTTTTTTAAGAAATTTTCAAGTAAAGAAAGGTTATTGTGCCCCGTATATGGTCAAAATTCATGACATCAAAATCGTGTACGTGGGCATGAAGTTTTCGGTGCGCACGGTGCATGCATTAATTTTGCTTTTGACTTCGTGCTGTGCAGATAACGTACAATACATTTTTGGCGATTTTGGCCGTGTGCTTAAAAAAAAAGAAATCGAAAACAGTAGGAGAAATAACAGAATCTGGACGAAAAAGTGGTACAAGAAAAATTGAATTCATGCGTATTAAGCTCCACGTAACAAATAAATGTTTATATAGGCAATTTTTTTAAATGCCAAGTATGGTACTTACCTGTCTCATCGACACAGCTGCTGGGACAATGAACTGTCAAAACAACTTTGGAATTCAAATTTGGAACGAAAAATGACTGATATTTGTAAAACATTCGTGTTGTATGTAAGCCATGAATCGGACTATAAATGTGGACTGCATTTTGTTCTCAAAAATGCATTGAAATCTCAGAAAATGGTCCTATAACGACCCTCAAAACTTATGTTTCCTTTTGAATATTACAAACAAATACACAAAGACACAATACCCTGTAACAGGCGGGAGATATAAAAAGTGTCACAGGGTGAAACATATCAATGCTTACCATTTTTGCTTGACACCAATGTTGTAGTTTCCAATAAAAAAAGCTGCATTTTGACATCAAATTTGGTAGTCGGTTGGCTTGGAACGGGAACCTTATAGTTGGCTCGTGCCAGTCCTTTTTTTAGAAATGAATAATACATTTATAGGACTTGGATGACCGTTATTGCATAAATATCTTGTTGTGTATCACACCTAAGCGAAGGTACATTTTACAAGTTCGATTTGTAAAGCCCTTTTGCATGACGTTTTGCGTTTACGCAAATAAGGTTTAACATGGCCGACTTTGGACTCTGGCCCACCAATGATGTGTCAGAACTGTCAAAAGCAATAACAAAAGGCGATAATTTTCTTTCTGATCTTAAACGACAAAAAATAAAACCAAACAGACGTAAAATGCAATAATATTTGTAATATTTAAAATAATATAACATTTTCCGCGACATTTACGAACGAGCATAGGTGTAAACATAACAACAAAGAATGAAACAATCTACATCGCCCACGCCTTCAGTGGTCTCCAGCTATGTGGCCTCGAGAGGCCAATCGCCATTGCCTCCACCGGCTAACTATAAGAAGAATTGCCTCTCGGCCACAACAAAAAGCTACAAATATCTGAGGCGTCTGCTGAAATTCAATCAAATGGATTTCGAATTTGCCCTATGGCAAATGATTTACTTGTTTATAGCGCCACAAAAGGTCTATAGGAATTTTAATTATAGGAAACGTAAGTAGGCCAGGCATTACAATTGGAATATGTGTAAGCGTTTATGTATTCCAGAGACAAAATCCCAATTTGCTAGAGATGATCCTGCGTTTTTGGTGTTATTCCTGGTTTGTCTTTGTGGTGAGTAGTGTCCGTGAATGGATGATCTTTGTTGTAATGATGAAATTTATTTTGTTTATTTTTTTCTTTTCCAGTTACATCATTGGGATTTGCTTGGGTATTGGGCCTGAATATTTGGCAAAGTATATCGTTTATTTTCTATGTCGTCTTTGTGGATTGCATATTTGCTGGCATCATTGTGGCCACATCTCTTTGGTTGTTTACAAATCGCTATTTACGTACCAGCAGTATTGAACCCGATGTGGAATGGGGCTATGCTTTTGATGTCCACTTGAATGCCTTCTTTCCACCCTTAATGCTGTTGCATTTTATCCAATTGTTTTTCTACAATTGGTTAATAAGCAAGCCCTGGTTTATATCGAATTTTCTGGGAAACACTTTTTGGCTCTTGGCCCTAAGCTATTATGTTTATATCACATTTTTGGGATATAATTGTAAGTATGAGTGGTTCTAATGAAAAGAAATGTCCTTTTCAAATTTAATTTTATCTGTTTCTTCCAAGGTATTCCACATTTGAAGAACACCCGTCTTATTCTCATTCCTCTGCCCATAATATTTTTGTTTTATTTAATCACGTTAATCATTAGTTGGAATGTTACCGTATCCTTTATAGACTTCTATAAATATCGTGTATATTAGTTTAAAGTAGTTTTAAAAACATAAGAAAATAACACACAATTGTAACATAAATGTGATGTCGTAGTATTTTGTTAAGGTTTAAAGAATCTATTAATGGAAACTGGCAAGTTGATCAATATGCGGCAGAAGTTCTTATTTACCCTTTATGGTGCCAATTTCACAAATTTTACCAATATCAGACGCCAAGGTGTGTCATACAATCGGCAAGGGATGAGGCCGCGTTTAAGTCTGAATCGAGTTGAACTAATTTTAATATATGACTGCCTTTACACTATGTGATTCTAGCTTTTAAATGTTATTGAGATCAGAAGTCTAGGTGATGTATAACCTTGAAATATAACGGATAATATTCATGGATGCATTACATAAATCTGGCCGATTTGAATTTGCCAAATATCTCGGTTTGACATTAACTAAGCTAAAGTATTTCAAGCATGCACCATATATAATGTACCATAGCAAATAGCATCGATATGGGAAGCAGTAATTGTTCTATAGTGGAATTCTCTATTTTTTGTCGTTACCACGAACTTTAAACTTTTGTGTTAAAAAGTTAGTTTCTTTTGTCATTTCTTTGCGACTGCTTCACTTTCGACCATCACCAAATTCAATAGATATCATCATGGGACTAATTGAGTAAATTCAACGGACCTTCTCACCTTCAAAAATTCTAATTTTAGCTTCAGAAATGCTTTCTTCTTTATTACATCAAATTATAACAATCCTCAACAAACATTTTTCTCCCCAAAAACTCCTCTATGCCAATTTGGTGGGCTTTACAAAAGATCTCTTGCGCTTATTTCTCTTACGCTGAAGCTCCATTTGATGTAGCTGCGAATAAACTTCAGCATAGATTTCCTTCTGTTCTTCTTCGGGAATGGTTGAACGATATTGTTTCATTAGATCATATTTCTCCCATGGTTTTTCATGTTCCTTGGCTGTGCGTCTACGTTTGTCGGTTAGGTATTCATCAATGTTGGAGACACCTTTTAAATTTTGTCTTTCCCATCTCTCCAACCAGGGACGTGGTCGTAGGCGAACTTGTATATCATTTACCGGTACGGGAGCACCATCTTCCATAACCTCCGGTTCCATATTGGTATCGAAGGTACTGTATTCGGGCAGAGCATCACGTAAATACAACAAATGATCATCCAAACGTTTTTCCAAACGGAGAACTTCGATTTTTTGTATGGTGGGATCGTACATTTCATACAAAACCTCAACACCCTGTTCATCGACTACGTTGCGTAAAATGAAACGGGCTCGCAGGCCACAACGTTCACGTTGAATGCAAATGCCTTAGTTTTAAAGAGCGCGAGAGAGAGAGAAACATCATCAATTATTAATCGAAACAATTTCCATAAACCTTAGAAAACCTACCCACAAAACGGCTAACTTTGCCGGCAGCATGTGGATCCGAACTGGTTACCGCCAATATCGAACCTACATAAAATTCCGGTATATCTATCTGTGAACGCCGGTCAATCATGTCTAACCTTTCCAGTTTTTCTCTGATTGGATTGCGCCATTCCACCTTGGGATCAGGCAAAAATTCCGGATAAATAAAACGATATGTTGTGGGGGCAACATTCGTTGTCTGTTTGTTGCTGTACTGTTCCTTTTCTTTGGGGGCAGCTTTAGTGGAGAACGTGACTAAAGCAAAGCAGCAAAACAAATTGGACAATCAGCCAAAGTTTTGTAATCACTTTTTTTAATGAAAAACTTACCAACTCTCGTGAAAACAGTTTGCCGCAAAAGCGAAGGTGTAACTAAACGCGATGGAGCCAGCATCATGGACAAATAATTGGGGTTTTAGTTATAATTTCGTTTTATAAATAACCCCAAAACTCCCTAAAAATTAATGAAAATGAAATGAAAAAATACTGCGCCTAGCTAGCCCTAATGCAAACAGCTGTAAAGACAAGTTATGCCACATCTGAGCAACCCTGATGATGACAACCATTTTACAGCTGTTTTGCTGAGACATCGATTTTGCAGGAAACAAATAGTTAATTACATATTTTGTCAATTCTTCTTTAACTTTAGCTTTTCTTTTGAAAATAGTATTTTTTATCATAGGCACAGGGGTGTTTTATGTAGGCGCCTTTGAAGAGGGCCCACATAGACGGCATAATTCCAACGACAGTTTGTAGTCCTATATAGAATATAAAAACTACTTTGGAAGTCAAAATATCTATAACGTTGTCAAATGCCTATAACCATGCCCTTTCCTGCTATTAATAAATAAAATATTAATAATTTGTTCCACACAACTATTTCTGGGTACCATGGCAGAAGAATACAGGTAGATGCATCAACGCTTGGGAGCATTGATATGTCAAAAAAAATTAAATATTTTTTTCAAATATAAGTAGATTTTTATATGTTTTCTTATACTATGTCAGTCGGAGGCTATTATAATTCACGTTTTTCAATAATTTTTACAAATTTAAATAATTTTTCATTTAACAATTTCAATTCCAAAATTGGTTTGACAGTTCATTGTCCCAGCAGCTGTGTCGACGCGTCTACCTATATTCTTCTACCATGCTGGGTACATAGTCTTATGTTTAGAAACAACCGCGAATAAGGTCTCCCATTCGGCCACCACACGACCTCAATTCCCACCACTACACACCTTCTTCTGTTTCTTGCTGTCTTGCAGTTTTTTCGACATAGAATCCACCAGAAAGAAAAAAAGCGCTAATGTTTTATATTTTACGTTATACTCACATAATTTTGTTAAAAAATAGAAAAAGTTTTTAAAACATTTTCATTTAAAAGTTATGTTTTGACAGTAAAAGAAGACAACAGCTGATCGAACTGTAACACCCTGTAAATACACCTTGTGGCGTTGTGTGTGCGTCAAATAAAATCCCAATCACAGTATATAAAGAGGCCATTTCACTGCCAGATTGCTTTGCGTTTATTTCGTAGAGCCTTTTTCCAGGACATGGGAAATCTGTGCTGGTCATTGTCATAATGCAATTGACATGTGCAATGGAAATTACGTACAAATGATGCTCTTCCTTGAGAAGTATTTAGCAACAGTTCTGTTGATTTGCTTGTCATTGTGTGCTTTTTTTCCTTGTTTTCTCAACAAACACATGCCTGCAGAGATGGAGAGCGGCACCATTGTACAGATGCTAAAAAGTGGAAGTTGTTTACATGCTTGCAAAACAGAGTATTAAAAAATGTTTTTTTTGAAAAATAAATAAATTTTAATGGCATTTTTTTAAATTTGGCGAGTTTTGTATTGACAAAATTTTATTTGTTCTTTTGAAGTATTCAAGAGAATAACTTTTTTTTGTGTTCTAATGACATATCAAACCAAAGAGTACCAACGAATACAACACTGTGCTGCTGCTCTACCATATTCATGATCCAACAACAAATTGCATTCATTCGTCAGTTGTAGTCGAGAGGAAGTCATCGTCGCTGCTGTTTGCAACTCAGAAAAAATAGAAAATTATATTTATTCGATCCACCTGAAAGTGAAAATAAATTTGGTTGAGTGACGACTGTGTTGTAATGAAGGGACTGAGAATCAAGTTTCCTGGCTGCTATCGTTGAATCGTCGTTTTTTTTGTGTAGTGCGGTGTTAGTGAGAACAGAATTGTGTCTCTCATCCGTGTTAATTATAATTAACTAACATTTTATTAATAATTTTCTGCGCACTTTTATTTTTTTGACGGGTGCTGCTGTTCTGTCGGCTTGCGGTCGACGTCACCGCTGTTTACTTATTGGTTACATTTGACTGGGATTCTCCAACCCCACTACCTTTCTCGTCGCATCGCCAATCACTTCATTTTTGGGTTATTTACCGTGCTGATGATGATATTTCAGTTTTTGTGCTTTGTGGTGTGTTAACACATACTGACTGCTGCTTGACAGACGTTGGGACGGACAACAGCATCAGCTCAAAACATTCCGTATGTTTTTTCGGTCTTCAGCTGCTACTGCTGCTGCTGCTTGTTGCATGCCGATCAAAATCTCGGTCAAATCAGTGAGAAGTGACAACGAAAAATAGCGCCGCAGCCATCATTGTGCTGCTGATACCGCTAAATTTAAATCAACCCAAGAGGAAAATACAAGACCATAAGATAGTACAACAAACAACAACAATTGCCCAACTAGCTTGAGACAAACAAGCAATTGCAAGCAAATTGTATCTTGCTCCAAGTAACACAACAACAGCATCAAACTGGCGGAAAAAAAGGTTCAAATGGCTTTATGCCAATCTTCGGTGGTAAGTAATGTTAAGGGTTTTTATGGTGCCATTAAAGCTATGCCATTGCATTTCAGGTTTTGTGGTTTACGTTTTTTACCATATTGGTCCATATGAGGGATATCAATTGGGTGTTTAATAAGACATGAAAGCAAAATCATCAGGAACACTATTTATTTGTATATCAAGGAAATAGTGCTCGACAAGTAGCTTAGGACATAAATTTCATATCTGTTCAAAATGGGTAGTCTTGGCGCAATTACGGTCAGGATAGTGTAGTCGTCTCGTATTCGTATTGGGCACGAATTGATGAAGATGTGTGTGACGCCTGCCCGACGTGTGATACAGGCCCGCACAATACGCTGCACCTGTTTAATTGCACAGCCAAGCCTACCCAACTCACTCCAGAAGATCTCTGGCTACAGCCCATTAAAGTAGCCGAATTTCTTAAACTGGAGCTGGAACCAGATTAGCTGAACGCAAACACTCACATGTACTACTGCTACAACAACAACAAAGTTGATATTCAGCTTTTTCTATGCTATGCCGTCCTTTTTGGCATCAAAAGCTCATCCCATTTCGAATTAGAGGTCTATTTCTTCAATGAGAGGAGTTTGGTGTATTGGGGGAAGTTCTGTAAACCATGAAATGAAACAAATATCAAGCCTGAATGTCATAAAAGGTTCTCCCTGAACTGAAAGATTAATCATCACATTGCACAACTGTAGCGAATTACATTGGAATTGTTTCCATCACACAAGGTTGTAGAGTTTTTTAGGTCGCTGGACTATCGACACCCAAATCGTCGCGTGTTAACAGCAATTCGTATTGCTGGTAAATTGATGAAAGCATCCAAACCACAGGACCACATTCCACACTAAATCTTTCCAATTAACACCAAACTTATCAAATTGGTTGCATTTTTAAATTTAAAACCAGACCATAACTCTTAACCTTGAAATTTGGCATAACAGTTCGACTTATATATATCGAATGATTGGTATTGAAAGTTGTCTATAATGGTTCAAGATTTAAATTCGCAAACTATATAAAAGAGAGAATTGCACATTTAGGATTAGTTTGCAGAATGCTCAACGACACTGGAGCCTGGCAGCTGCTTAAAACGAAATCAATTGTGGTCATACTAGGAAAAATTAGTGGTGATAGGAAAGATCTAGATCGAAAAGGAATGAAGGGATAGAAAAGGTTTGCTTAGCCATTAAATATATATATTTGGAAAAGCTATGGATGATGATAACGGGCCGCATAATTCTTCTGCTTGGCATGGGACATCGTCTCCAAATCTTTTTCGTCCTCACATAGTCTATCCCGGGATTCTTAGATCATGTCTGCTAATTAATATAAGGGAGCAGGTTCTTTTTGCTAGATACCTTGTTACTGGTTTCTAAGTACCAGCTGCTTTGATGGGAATTTTTCTGAAGCGGCTGACATATTAGCTTATATATGGTATGGACAGTCTCCCCATTGATTGTGTCCTGGGACCTAACAAAGAAAGCCCTACCGGAGATATGTGAACACATTTCTTGCAATTAAGAATGTCTCTCGATTAAATGGTACTTGAATTTATAGCTTTGAGGACAGCCTGCCTGCCAACATATATAGTCACTGGTCCTGTTACCCCACAGTAGTGTTCTTCTAGCTTTTCGGCTGCCTTCGCAATGGCAAGAATTTCTGCCCAAAAAAGTTGCATTAAGCTTATGTGAGTTTAGGGGCTGAATACGCTAGCACAGGTGTCACCATTCATCTGGGAACCCTCTGTATATCGCGCCAGAATGTCCAGAGGAGTTGCAACACCAGTCCAGGCGCCCCCATTTTTGTTATCTCGTAACGTCAAAACTTGTTTTAGAAACGTTTGGGGAACTGAGTGGGGAGCTCCATTTACTGAGCTTCGTGGAAAATTGAAATGTTCTTTTGTCTATAACTGGAAATTAACAACAAAAACAACAAGCTGATTACGTGACGCTCATGTGTGCGTGTGTGTGCTTGTGTCACATAGTCTTTTTTTTGTTTTGAATTGATAACGAAAACGGCAGGTACTTGTCAGTCAGTAATGCGGTTTGTTTTTTTTTTGCCGCTGCTAAAAAAAACGTTAACACCGCAAAAAAGGTATTTGTTTGTCAAAAGCATTTTGAAGTACATTAGGCTCTGTTATAATCTGAACAAAAAAATCCGCTTTAATGCAACATTTCTTCTTCTCTCCGTCTCTGCAATCGTAGGTGACACCAAAAAATGCATTCCGACAACAACTTTCACTTAATGCTTGGCTATATTATCTTCCAGCAACGATTCTTGTTTGTGATTGTTGTTGTTTTTGTTTTCACTGCAACTTTCTTGCTCTTAATAACAACAGCAACAATAGCATAGTGGCACACACAACTCAACAGCCAGCGAAACATTAAAGGTTGTTGTTTTTTTGTTAAACCTTCAACAAGGACGTAGACAGAAAGGCATTTCGAAATCATTTTGGGAAGGGTTACCCCATTAGAAAGCAATCCCTATGTCTAAAATATACAACATGGGACCACGTTTCCCCATTTCGTAACCTTCAAGAAAGGCGTAGACAGAAAGGCATTTCAAAATCACTTTGGGGAGAAGTACCCCATCTGAAAATATGTCCCTATAGCTCCTACATTTTCCAAAGGAATTGCTTGAAATTTCCTATTCAAACTTCCTATACCATTCTCTCCGACAGAAAGTGGTCTATATAGGTTCAAGGTTTTCAAACAGTATAGGTCCTATAGAGGTTTATATGGGGGATATGGCCACCACCCCCATATAAAAGGCTCACCTGCTTTTACTTTTTATTGTTGCTGTGTAAAATATTTTTTTATTTATTTGTTGTCCTTTGTTTGCCGGCTTTTTCAGCTGAAGGTCTATCACGCCGTCATTGAAGATGTTATTACCAGCGTTCGCGATGCCTTCTTGGATGACGGAGTCGATGAACAGGTGCTGCAAGAAATGAAACAGATATGGCGAACAAAATTAATGGCTAGTAAAGCTGTCGAAATAAATCCAGATCCCCCAGAACAGCCGCCACAAGTAATTGCCAACAATCCAAAGGTAAGAATTTAGAGGTGGAAGAAGAGGGTTGGGTGCAAAATAAAGGCAATAAATTTCGGTCCCAAAAAGAGGTTTCTTAAATGTCCTCCATCTATGGGAAATCTTCTGAAGATGCTCTGTCCATAAAGGAGCTTCATATAAGTCTTCTATCTATTTGAAGGCCTTCTCTGTACAGAAGGCCGATCTTTACATAATTCTCTGTTCAATGAAGGCATCTAATTAAGAGCTAGTTTTACAAAAATACTTCTATTAGGTATTTATCTATTTAATTTATATAGAAGACCTTTTTCAGAAGGTCCTCTTCATATATAGGCCATGAAGTCATCTGATGACGCAAGTTCTGCTAGAACATTTATATATATATGACTTCATTGACCAGAAGAACATATGGTGGTCTTCTGTACAGAAGAGATCTGAATGCTGAAGCTCCTTAAGGTACAAAGGATGTTCTTTAAATGTCTGAATGTCTTCTATAGACCTCTACCAATGTATTTTGCCTTTAGAGAACTTCAAAAAGTTATTATATCCTTAGAGAGCACTCATAGAATGAAATGGGTTTCTTATTTGCGATGCTAATTCTCATATTTTTTTCTTTCATACTCAAATTTGATCTGCTCTCTGATGTGGCCATCGACAACAAACACAACACACAGCCCACAAAGGTAAGCTAGCTAAATATCTACCCATATTAATATCTGCTGCAATTCATTTGTTTATGCTTTAACAACAATTTCTAGGCTCAAGTAGCTAAGGCCAAAAAGGCTGCCGCAGCAGCAGCTGCCGCCAATAATGCCAACAATGGAGCAGCAGCTCAGAGCTCCAGCTCAGCAACATCTTCGAGTTCGGTGGATGTCAAGCCGAATATTGCGCAATTACAGCAGGCGGTAAATGGACCCTCTACCGTGTCAGCAGCAGCAGCAGCTGGTTCCTCGGCGGCCAATAGCAGCGGCAGCAATACAACAACACTCATGAATGGCACAATTAAACAGGAACCCCAGGGGACGATGCTTTCATCTTCACAACAATCTCAAAGTCAACCACCGCCATTACATCCTACCTCTTCGAGTTCGGCATTGCTGTTGCAACAACAAAAACAACAGCAACATCAGCAGACAATTGGCGGAGCTGGTGGCAGTCAACAGTCACATCAACAACCTGGCGGTGTTGGTGGTAATGCCACCAGTGGTAATCAACCTCAATCGTCAACAATACCCATTGTTGCTGCCTTAGATCCCAATCGTATTATGCCTGTAAATGTAAGTCCATGGATGTAAGGCAATGCTTTTAGGAAGTCTCCCCCCCCACCCCCTTGTTCATCACTTGTATAAAGTCTGCAAAGCTCTCGCAACACAAGGTATTTTTATACCCTCCGCCATAGTATGGAGGGTATATTAAGTTTGTCATTCCGTTAGTAACACCTCGAAATATACATTTTAGTATATACTTTATTCTTGATCAGCATAAAATTCTATGTCGATTTAGCGATGTCCGTCCCTCTATCCGTCTGTGGAAATAACTGAAGCTACCCAAAGAATTGCAGTAGATTGATAAAATCTTACTGAAATGTATATTATGTCTGCAGGACTTTTGGTATTTGGTAAATGAGCCATGTTGGTCCACATTTTGGTATAGCCCCCATACAACAGTGCCTCCCGATATTCGGTATTTTGATGATTTTAGCGACATTATTCATCGGAATTGTTTCAAATTTTTTATTTGAATTTCGAAATGGATACTACAGCCTAAGACAGACAATTGTCTGTGCAGGTCCACGTCTTCGTATAGCCCCCATATAACGGTACCTCCTGATATTCGGGTCTTTTTTGATTTTAGCGACATTATTCACCGGAATTATTTCAAATTTGGTATTTGATGTTGGTAATGGATTTTACAGTCTATGACAGAAAATTTTCTGTGCAGGTCCACGTCTTCGTATAGCCCCCATATAACGGTACCTCCCGATATTCGGTATTTAAATGATTTTAGCGACATTATTCATCGGAATTGTTTCAAATTTGGTATTTGAAGTTTGAAATGGATACTACAGCCTAAGACAGAAAATTTATTGTGCAGGTCCACGTCTTCGTATAGCGGTACCTCCTGATATTCGGGTCTTTGTTGATTTTAGCGACATTATTCATCGGAATTCTTTCAAATTTGTTATTTGATGTTCGTAATGGATTTTACAGCCCATGACAGAAGATTTTCTGTGCAGGTCCACGTTTTCGTATAGCCCCCATATAACGGTACCACGCCATTATTCGGTATTTTGATGATTTTAGCGACATTATTCACCAATTTTATGACAAAAGTTACCTAAGCAGGTCCATGTCTTCGCATAGACCCTAATATAAAATCTACATTCGGTGGTATTTTTAAGATTTTAGAAGAATTTTTTACGAATTTTATTGTTTCTGAGAATTGCCAAATTCGTTCCAAATGGTCGAGGGTGTTCAAAGTTCCACCCGGCCCGGAATTTACAGCTTTTTTACTTGTATACCTTTAAAAGTCCTCCTAAATGTTTTTTTCTTTGAACAATAAATACCTCAAGAATAGTAGGTCTTCCACACGCAAATGGAAGAAGAACTACAGGTGGACTTGTAGAAGACTTGTAAAAGTTTTTGTACTATGAATGTCCTGCGGATAATATAAAGATCTTGGATGTTGAGAAAACCAGACAATTTCAATGAGAGACTTTCATCCATAGAAGCAAACAAATCCTAATTTTTTTTTAAACATTTATTTTTCTTCAATTTTTTACTTTTTTCTTCTTTGCCAGATAACATTGCCTGCCCAACCGGGCACCATGAATTCAGAATCACGTGTATTAACCATTCATGTACCAGCCTCAGCATTGCAAGAGAATCAATTGACCCAAATTCTGACAGCCCATTTGATATCGTCGATAATGTCATTGCCCACCACATTGGCCTCATCAGTGCTGCAGCAACATGTCAATGCGGCCCTGGTTAATGCCAATATGCAGAGTATGTCTTTTTTTCATATAAATCGTTAACAAAAAGTAACACAATTTTATTGATCTTTTGCAATTTAGAAAATTTCAATACCTCCAAACAAATGGACGGTGCCCTGGATAGCTCAGACGAGGATGAAAGCGAAGAAAGTGATGCCAACATCGATGATGATGACAATGATGATTTGGACAAAGATGACGAATCGGATTTGGACAATGAGGGCGGCGCTGAGGAAGAGCCCCTGAACAGTGAAGATGATGTCACCGATGAAGATGCTACAGATTTATTTGACACAGACAATGTTATTGTTTGTCAATACGATAAGGTAAGATGTGTGGCGTAACTCCAGAAGGACTCTAAAGACCTCTGGAAGATTATTTTTTTTTGAAATTCATACAGTCCTTTGAATAATATAGTCTTGACATGGAGAAAAAAAAAACTAATGACCTCCCAAATGTCTATCTCCCATAGATGAATGATCTACACTTTGCTCTCTCTCTCTCGAACTATAATTTCTTTACAGTTATGAAATTCTTCTCTTTCTCCTTCATAGACATTCACAAGGTCTTTTAGAAAACCTCCAAATCAACAAGAATTTTATATGGAGGTCTTATTTCATTCATTTTATGTGTGTATGTAGGTGAGGCCCCTGCGTTATCAACTATTAGGTCATCTTTCGTATTTAAAAGATCAGCTAAAGATCTCAATGAAAGAGAGTTTCTAGAACACTTTTCGAAAACATACGGGGCAAGATGATAAAACTGCAACCAACTTCAGACTGCTGTTATTTCAAAGCCACTCGTCCGACAGCTGTTAAAATTATTCCAGTAGTGAGAATTTTCCAGAAAAAAAGGCTATCGTTAGAGCACTCCAGCATTTAAATGTGAATTAATCTTTTGTGTCTCGTACCGTGATACTGGTAGCGTAACTCGACGACGTCAAGGAAGTGGACGGGAGAAAACAGCAACATCAGCAGAAATGGTTCGAAAAGTAAAGAAGCGTCTTGAACGAAAACCAAGTCGCAGTGGGCGAAAATGGCTCGTGAGTTGAACATATCGCAATATTCCATTCGGCAAATAGTGAATAATAATGAGCTCAGGGTAAAGAAATTGAAATTCCAAAAAGTGCAAGAATTTTCACCAACAACAGAAAGAAAATAGACTCAAAAGAGCTAAAGAGTTTTTTCGCTTGGCCGAAAGGGGTGATGGTGAACTCATATAAATCATGCAATGATTTTGCACAAATCATTGGTTTGGCCCAAGTGCGAAACCTATTGAAATTGGAGATAATCGGGAAAAATTTAGATATTGCTCCCATTTATATCTTCATCCGATTTGCCTTTTATTTTGCACCAAACGTGTAATATCAGCCCGAATAGTATGGAATTTTGCACATACAACTGAATTAGGCCTGAAAATAAGTATGCCAAATTTGATCGAAATCGGTTCAGATATAGCTATAGCTCCCATATATATTGTTCATCCGATTTGTTATTTTAGTCCTCCGCAGCCGTAATATGCACTCTCTAACAACAATATTTGGGAAAATATATCAAATACAGATCAGAAATAACTTTGCCAAATTTTATCGAGATCGGTTCAGATTTGGATATAGCTCCCATATATATAACTTCGTCCGATTTACCTTTTATTGTGCATCAAACGTCTAATATTTGCTCAAATGTGATGAAATTTGGCACATACGACCGAATTGAGTCTAGAAGCTAGGATGCCAAATTTGGTGGAGATCGGTTCAGATATAGCTATAGCTCCCATATATATTGTTCATCCGATTTGTTCCCCACAGCCATAATATGCACTCCGTAACAACAATATTTGGGGAAATATATCAAATACAGCTCAGAAATATCTTTGCCAAATTTTATCAAGATCGGCGCAGATTTGGATTTAGCTCCTATATATATCTTTATATGATTTCAAATTAATTTTGCACCAAATGGGCAATACAAGTTCGAATTTAAAAGATACAAATGCTTCGGCATATTTAGTCCTTTGAACTTTAAATTATAGTTATAATCATGGCATGTATGATTGAATTCTCCCATAAAAACTTTTAATTGTTATGTGGAGCTCTACTAAATTAGCAAAGTGGTGGTGTAGGGTATCATAAAGTCGGCCCCACCTGACTTTAGGACTTTCTTTACTGGTTTTTATTTTAACCTGTATATAATCTTCTCCGCTAGAGGGTCGCCTTCAATATCTTCCACAACAGGTTCATAAATCTAAAGAATATAACCGTTTTCTCTTCATCTCTCTCTCTCTCTCTCTCTCTTTACAGATAACACGCTCTCGCAACAAATGGAAATTCTATCTCAAAGATGGCATCATGAATATTGGTGGAAAGGATTATGTTTTTCAAAAATCGAATGGTGATGCTGAATGGTAAAAGAAAAACTGGGCCTGAGAATATTTTTTGCGAATCACAACAAATTACTTATGAACAACCACCTTTCTCTCGCACCGCCCCTCCCCTCACCCCAATCCCCCCTCCTCCTTTTCCTCTCCTATGCTCATAAATTAATTCAAAATAATTGTTAGTAATTAAATTAACCTAGAATTTTGTTAATATACCATCATATAAAACATGCATAAAAATGATGTAAATTTGTTTGTTTTTTCTTTCCTAAAAAAAAAAATACAGAAAAGGATATTCATACATACAAAACATATAATATATATATACATACTTTTATTCATATACAAACAAACGACAAGACAACAAATAAAAAAAAAGAAAAACTTCAAAAAAGTCTGGTATTCAAATTAATGGGTATTTTTATTTACTTTGGATGCTAATTTCCAGCCAGGCCAATAATGATGACCTTATCCTCCTAATTTTATCATTATTTTAACAAACTAAATGAAATGTAACTTTTAACAAGTAAAATAGTATCAATTGGTTTTGCCGACTGATGTATACACCCAGCCTCGAGTTACGATTATTCAAACTGTTGACCCTTTATGGGGGGTGGTTCCGAATATAAATATTGCAACGTTGCAGATTTGAACTAGGTTAGGTTAAAGGACGCGCGGCTACCATATGGCAACCGCTCCACTCGGAGACCTATAGGTCCATTGTGTTCATCCTAGAAGAATGTTAAGAAAATAGGAAGAAGTGGTTGATAGAAGAGATGAAGATAAGGCATGGAGTTATAGAGTGTGATCTACGGCTGAGGAATTTGCCGTGTCGTCTTTAGCCCCATGAATCTTCTGGCTAATTGAAGGATTACTATAGGGTCAGTGTTAGAAAAAGAAGACAGAACATGTGACACTAGTTCTCCCACCAGCCTCTGTCTCACATTAATGAGTGCAGGGCAGTGGCAGAACAATTGTACGACTATCTCGATTTCTTCTTCATCCACCTTAACGCCTCTATGGCCACCTACCTGAGGCGTTTCTGATGTAGAATGTATCGTGTATGGCTGGCATAATGATAAGACCCCTATTCACTGTGAAGTGATAACAAAAATGTTTATCGATTGGGCATTGACAGTAACCACAATAGAATTGAAGGTGTATTCCCTACCATCAATTCTGGAACACAATGCCTGAATCTGTTGCGTCGGGTGGGCCATCAGGGGGCGTGTAGGCTACATGGCTTACCTGGAAAATTCAATGTAAATAGTTTTTACATTGTTTTTAAAATATGCCATTTGTTTACTTACCCCAGTAGCTATTTCTTTGAAAAGAGAAATAGCTCAGAGACCCGATTCAGAAAAATAAAATTTTAAAGTTAGATGCTGTTGCGCATCAGGCGAAATGAAAAAGAAAATGACAAGAAGGAAATGGATGGCGTTGCCATTATAAAAGAATAGGGATCGTTCAATCGTTATTTGGCTACGGATTTATACAACCATGGCTGAGTAGCCATTTCGTAGCTACCCTATCGCCATCAACAAGGTCCATAATAAATATTGGAAATTTTAGGAAAAATGGTGGCAAAATGAAGCGACTATAAAAAGGGGGAAAATAGGAAAATTGGCAACATAGTGTTGCAAAAGATCTAAGCAAGAAGACGGTCCAAAGTAGTTTTTAACACTAAAAAAAAGTGAATATTTATATGTGTGTTTACTTGTTAACAAAAAGTGAGAACATCATACTAGTGACAGTGGGAAAGCAAACAACATTTTTATTTTTGTATTTTTTTTATATATAAAGGTTCCCCAAAATCACAATATTTTTTTTGGTCTCCACTGACTGCTGAGTGGGGATCTGGTGTTAAATGCCCGGTCCTTGGGTTTAAATTGGCCGTTGAATTTGAAGGTCTCCCTGTTTGGTGTCATACTTCTGTTTGGTGTCCGTATCTGAGGCAGCGGAATTTGGGTCAAAATTGATCGGATGGCCACAAGTTGGAGATTTTTTTTTTTGATCGCAAGGTGTCATCTCCTATGGCATAAAAATTAATATTTTGCCACGTAATTAATGACCAGGTAATAGACACCCTTTTTCTTTATCCATGTTTTGGAGCACGGAAGAATATCCAGGGAATTGCAACTAAAAAAGAAAGAGAAATCGACAAATTAAGAAAATTTATTTGAAAAAAAATCATAAAAAAAAAAAAAAAAAAAAAAACAAAAAAAAAATTAATTTAAATAACGATAGGAGAATATTGATAGACATGCAAATTATTTTAATATAAACATATTGCAAATTTAATTGAATAGTATAAGTATGTGTTGTGATGTCCTCTCTTAATGTTTTAATGTAAGGATGTTTAACGCCAGTTTCCTTTAAATTTCACCTAGTACTATATGAGCAATATCCAGGGAAAGCTAGAGGGTGTAGTCGTATGTTTCAATTCGAGCCAATTTTGGCTAGTGAGGCCGTTGTAAGAGAGCTCCTTTACAGTAGGTAATATTTTGTTTAGAATTTGAGGTCTGAAAAGTGCAGACAAAATTCCCTAGGTTTCTCACAAGGAAAATTTGCTATTTTTCATATGTTTACAATTTGTTTTAATCTGGTGTTAGATTGTCCGTTTTAAAGATCGACAAAATTTATCTGTATTTAGCTGTAAGTCCTTTCTGTCAATAAATAATGTTGTGATTAGAATTAGACTAAAAATAAACTATGTGTTAAATTTTTGTTAGTAGGGCAATTTTCTAGCTAGGTAAAGAGGTGAGTGTGTGTGGGGTCTTCAAAAAATTACTTTAAAAAGGAACCCTGAAGACCATGGAAGGGTGGGCGAATGCGGGAGTAGAAACATCAACTCTCCCTTGCCTGAGCAGGTGTTGTGTTTGTGTAGTGTATTGTATTTGTGATGTGTAAAGTTCCAATTTCGTGTTCGTCCTGAGGTGTTACAAAGTGACGGTTGAGAACCAGACCCCGAGACCGCTAGCAGCCGGAGGGTCACTTTTAACGCCGCCAATCAGGAATACGTAACAGATGGCGCCCAATGAATTAAAAAAATAAGGTTCTGTCGAACCCAAAAACTCAGTAATCGGTGCAATAACATCTAACCACCTTGATATAGACCATAGGAAAAAAATAGACATAAGTTATATCGCAATATTCTTCAGCCTTGCTGATATTGATCCATATTTTCTTTGAAAATATGTAAGTGCAATATTAGTTTTAGGAATTAGAATATTTAGGATATTACTTCCATAACAATAATCGGTCAGTGCAATAGCTTGTTCGTCGTGAGTGTAACAATGTATGTATTGTAAATGACCTGTTTAGTGTTGTTTGTGTAAACTTATTAACGTAGCTGAAATAGGTAGGATTTTTGATTTCTGGGAAATGTGCAATATTCACCGATATATGAATTATCAGGTGACAGTTGCTCTCCTATTTTACGAGATCTTTTTCTTGATGGTTATAACAAGAAAATGCCGTGAAAAAAGGGATCAAAAGTTCTAAATAAAAAAGATAAAGTTAAAAACAAAGAAAAAACATTTTTCGTAATGGTATTTGTTCTGAACCTGCTTGGATAACCGAAAGGGCATTTTTATAAAAGAAATATAAAACACACACCTCTATGAAATAACCTAAAATGAAAATCCCTATATAGTATTTATTGAAATATTAAAAAATTGTGCTGTCTTAATTTTTGTATGCTGTTTGAATTGTGTCGTCATTTTTATATTTATTTTTAAATTTTGTTTTGGTTATTTTTTTATATTGATTTTTATTTTTTTTATATAATTATTTTTAATTACTTATATTTAATATTTATATTTTTTTATAATTTTTATATTTTTTATTTTTTTTTATATATTTTTTTTAAATATTAGTGTTGTGACGGATTTATATGTATAATCAGTTTTGACAGATCTTATTTATAAATCGGACAAACCTATTTATTTTCATCAAACATTGGTCGAAACACAGGCTTTTTTGCCAATGACTGATGAAATTGACTCTGAAGCTACACGTCGAAGTAAGCGAAATCGTACAGCTTCCTTTGACATTAGCAGAAACTATTTTCAATCTGTTCCAAAACATAGGAAAAAAGCAAATAGTGGCAAAATGGTTAATCCACCGTCTACGGGAGATCAGTCGATTATTGACATGTCTCAAAGCATAAATTCCAATCCTCAACCAAATAATGGAGTGTCAAATAGAAACCCAACAGATCCTCAACGGATAAACAATAATGTAAACGGCAACCCTGATGAGAATATGTTAAGGCAAATGGTAAATGAGAATGTTGCAAATGTTCAACTAAATCTAAGGCCTTTAACTCAAGAATGTGTAGGAGGTGAATTAAAAAAGGTTTATGAAGCTATTGGAAAGTTAGGGGATATGGTTAAGAACATAACCGATACTGCTAGTGCAACTAATCAAACCATTTTTCAACCTAGTAACATACATCGCGATTTTACCGCTCCTCCACCACTATTTCTAAATAACAGACCTCCAGAGATACCATCATCTAACATGATGTTATTTCCTCCCGGCCCCAATTTGGAGAGGCCTAGCAAAGTGGAGAAGTTTAAACTGAAGTTTGATGGTAATCCTTCTGGAATTTCTGTAGAAGATTTCGTTTTTAGATTAGAGTATTTGAAGAACCAATACAAAGTATCTTGGGAAGACATTTTTGCTGAATTCCAGAGTTTGTTGTCGGGTGGAGCGTATGAATGGTACTGGCTACAAATTAAAACTGGCGTAGTGCGAGATTGGTCTTCGTTGAAAGACGCCCTGTTCAGGAGATATAGCACCACTAGGTCAAATTTTGATGTCATGAGCGAAATTGTAGAAAGGAAGATAAAGCCAGGGGAAAGCTTAGATAATTTTTTTCAAGTCATAAATACCTTGAGGTCGAAGTTAAGCCAGCCAATATCTGAGAGAGAAATCATCCAGATTGTTAAGAGAAATTTGAAAGGTGAAATATTTAGAATGATTTATCCCATGAGCATACATTCAATGGAAGAACTCAGGATGGAATGCATAAGAGCTGAAAAAACTTGCAACAAGCGAGATGTGAGGTATATGCCTCCACCTCCATACCAAAATGTTAGAGTACACGAGTTGCAAACATGCGAGGATAATTACTATGTAAATGAAACCATGCCAGAAGTGTCTGAGATCCAAGGGGAACAAATTTGTTGGAACTGTCGTAGGCCAGGACATCGGTTTATGGATTGTTTGTCGGCACAAAGATCACTATTCTGCTACAGATGTGGCCAACCGAACACCGTCGCACCAAAGTGTCCGAGGTGCCAATCGGAAAACGGGAAAAGGAACACAGTGTCAGCGGGAACATCGTGTTCGACAGACAGACCCGTAACATCCAAACAACAACAAAATGCTTAGAGCAACTTAATTATCCGTCCATTCGGCATTACCTACCAATAGAAGTTCGAAAAGCGAACTATGAAATTATAAGAAGACACATCTTTGAGGAGGAAAAAAATTGTGAGGGATTGACTGAAACAGAAGTCACCAAAGATGATGAAAAGGTGATAGTAGTTCCTAAGAAAGCCAAAAATCCAAAAAAGTTAGATAGAATTCTGAAGCTCCGACATAGAAAAAAAGAAAACAAAATGATTAAAAAAATGCTTATTGAATCGGTGAGAAAATACAATGAAACATCTGATCAAAGGCCTTACGCCACCATAACTATTGAAGGTCAAGAACTAAAAGGACTGCTGGACTCTGGAGCCACAGTTTCGGTTCTCGGTAAAGGATGTAGAGAGTTAGTAGACAAGTTAAAAATGGAACCAGATTTTTATTATACCAATGTTAGAACCGCTTCAGGCCAATTACATCGAGTGTTAGGAAAGATAAGAGTAAAAGTCCAATACAAAGATATCGAAAGAGAGATAAGTTTCTACATGTGTCCAGACCTAGAACAGCCTGTATATTTAGGAATTGATTTTTGGAAAGCTTTTAATTTAGCCCCTGATATAGTGTCAGTCAATGTCATAGACATAGAGAAAATCCAAAACAAATTCGTAGAGGAGAACGATTATCCGAGAGAAATGCATAACCTTACAAATGATCAAAAAGAACGGTTGCAAAAGACTGTGGAATCATTCCCTTCTTTTGAGAAAATGGGTCTAGGGCATACAACGCTGGAAAAACATTCAATCAAACTTGTTGAGGGAACAAATCCTATTAAAGATAGACATTACCCCATTTCCCCAGCGGTGCAAGAAATAGTTTACCAAGAAATAGATAAAATGTTGGAAGTAAACGTCATTGAAGAGAGCAATAGTGCGTGGAATAATCGAATTACGATAGTGCGGAAACCAGGAAAGAATCGTTTCTGTTTAGACGCGCGGAAATTAAATGCTGTAACGATGAAAGACGCGTATCCGCTTCAAAATATTGATGGAATTTTGAGCCGTATAGATCAAACTGTTTTTATTAGTAGTGTTGATTTAAAACATGCCTTTTGGCAGATAGAGCTGGATAAAGAGTCAAGACCATACACTGCCTTTACTGTCCCAGGACGTCCGCTCTATCAATTTAGAATGATGCCTTTCGGGCTATGTAATGCGGCGCAGCGTCTTTGTCGATTGATGGATAAAGTTATTCCGTCTCGTCTAAAATCCAATGTCTTTATTTATTTAGACGATTTGTTAGTTATTTCAGAGGATTTCGAAACACATTTAAAACTATTAGATCAAGTTGCCGACTGTTTAAGAAAAGCCAACCTCACGATAGGACTTAAAAAGAGCAAATTCTGTTTTAAAGAACTAAAATATCTAGGCTTTGTAATTGGAGGGGGTGTATTAAAAACGGATCCTGAAAAGGTAATGGCCATTAAAAACTTGAAAGTGCCAAAATGTCCACGAGATGTAAGAAGTTTTTTGGGAACAGCGGGGTGGTACCGCAGATTTATTAAAAATTTTGCCAGCATATCTGCGCCTTTAACAGATACAC